ATCCTCCTGCGCCGGAATATCAATCTATGAAACCAAAAACAGAAGTTGCTGGGAACACTCAGCAGGTCAGACAGCATCTGTGGAGAAAGAAAAGTGAGTCGACGTTTCGGGTCCACAACACTTTGTCATCAAGCCGAAACGTTGACCCACTTTCGTTTCTCCATAGATGCTGCCTGACCTGCTGGGTGATTCCAGCAACTTCTTTTTTGGGTTTCAGATTTCCAGCATCTGCAGTATTTTGTTACTAATCAATCTATTAATTTGTGTCCCAATAGTCCAGACTTGATTTCACAATCTTCTGACCCAAAGGCGAGGGTGGTAACAACTGAGTCTGGATGACACCCCTGACAGCATTTGATTATATAGCAAGATCAAATAGTTTTGTACAACACACTGTCAAGAAAGAGGTGGTGATGGAGAAGAAAAAAAGGGCATTGAACTCAGATTATCCTGAATTGTTATCACACTCTGCCACAGCCAGTCTCAAATCTGGGGCAAGGAAATAAAGAGAAGAAAGAGAATACTCGACATCCTTGTATAACAATGGTTGCTCATTCTTCCATCTTTTGCCAGTTCAGCCTCAGTGAGATTTCTCTTACCTCCCCTTCAAGCAGAGTAGATTCAGGCGTGGTACTTATTTTACCAACCTCGAAAGGATGAAAAGTTTAGTGGACATTCAAACCCTTTTGGACCCAAGTCATCATATAAGCGACCCAGAATCAAAAAAAAGTATAGATTCTAATTTGCAATATCACAAAAGGAAATAAATTTGTAAATAACAAATCCTAGATGAGCCACAGATATTGCTCAGGAGCGCTGCTTCAATGCGAATGTCTTTTTAGACTACCTTATAGTAAGCGTCTGAATGGAGTTCCAGAGGGTCATCTATGACACATCCAGGATTCACCAGTTACAAAACTTGAATCTTGCAATTTTGACTTCAATATCAGTTCTCCCAAATAAGCAACATGTTGAAGCTATCAGTCATGAATTAACACTTCAACAGCATTAAAAGCTCAAACAATGATGTTGCAAATTTTGCCTTGCTTATCTCTATTGAATGTTTTTAGTAGCCTTTCTTGCTTACTCGCTACACTCAGCTTTGCCTATTTTTGAGCCTAGTCTGTGGCCTGCGCTGTTTACATAGACACAAACAATCACGCTCAGACTACCCAGGGCCAACAGTAAAACACAGACATTTGCTTCAGACCCCAGGAAATTAGGACAGAAATATCTCATCAATCTCAGTTTCCTTTTTCCAATTGAAACATATGATTTCTTATTTCTGAATATTATAATACTATATAAACTCAGATTATATATACACAGATTGTAAAAGTGGTAAGTAAGCTTTGCAAAATGCTACTTTTTTTCTTCACTGTCCAGGAAACAAAAAGCATTCAGGTCTCCCTTCTCTGTTTGGTACTCTCAACATACATCTTTACTGTAAGGGTGTGCCTCCAAAAAACACATCTGAAAACAATTTTTGTCTGTCCAAAAAACCATTTTACATAAAAACTGTCACAAAACCAAACAACGAAAGACTAATAACAATCCAATCTAGCTGGAGAATAAACAATTTTTAATGTATCTGCTTTCCGATCTAGCTTCCTGTCCCTTGCACTGCAGAATATAGAAAACAAAACATATGTTCACTTTGGTCAGGCTCGAACGATAACCAGAGCTGTTTTTATTGCAAGTGAGATAAATTTCCTGTTTCGTTCCACATTATTTCATGGAGAATATAAAATATCTGATCTGTTTTGTTATATTTGCCAACTCACTTGTTATAGAAGGTCTGTGCTGAAAAAGTTTGTGTTCTCTGCTTTCAGATTGTGTATCAGCCTGGCTCAGAGATAGCACTCTAGCCTCCGAGTCAGAAGGTTGTGGCTTCCATTCCCACGTTGGGGCTTGAACTCACATAGTTTAAGCTGGCAATGCAATGTTAGGGGAGTGCTGCATTGTCAGAGGTGTCACCCTTCAGATGAGATATTAAACCATTCGAAAAGAGAAGGGAGTTTCTCCCGGTGGCCTGACCAACAATCGCCCAAATACAATTGGTCATTCACTCCATGGTTGTTTGTGGGACATTGCTGTGTGCAATTGGCTGCTCACAAATAAGCAGTCACTCCACTTCACAGTATTTCCTGTGAACTGCTTTGAGACGTCCTTTATACTTTGTAAGGTGCTACATCAAATGGAAGGAATGTTTTTATTATTATCCCTGTGCACACTTTGCTTCTGAAATGAGAGACCTCCTTGCACTACATTGAACTATTCAGTGTATTCACAACCTTTTAAATAAACCTTTTATACTATAGAAATAGCCCAAGAAACTATTCAATAGTACTTGAGGCTTGCTGGGCAGTCTAGAAACATGGCTATTATTTTTTTATCCCTTCTAGAGCCACAGCAGTTTCCAGTAGCTGCAGGATAGTGGATGTGACCACTTTTGTGTAGGAAAAAATATAATACAATAACTCAGTTCCTTTTTCTAAGTATCAAATTACCAAGAAGCACTGTTGCAATGATAGTCTATAAAGGACTATATTGGTCCATGCTTACAAAACATAGTCAGAAAATGAGATTCACTGGAGAGTATTCACTAGGCATTGGGCTTTGGACTTTATTTTCAAGAAAAGATAGAATTGTATAATGTAAATCCAAGACCAGTGTGATTTCACATTAGCTATGTTGCATCTGTTGTTGGAAAGTGTATATGATTGTCAGTTTCAATACACTGAGCTTTACCTAGCAAACACTCAGAGCCTCACCAAAGAACCCAAAACATAGAGAGTATGACATTAACTTCAGCAAAAGCCCTAGCTGGAGTCTTATCTAAGATGGAGATAACAGAGAAAAACAAAGTCATCCCAGTCACTCAAAGGAATTAACCCAGTTAATGGGAGTTTAAAGTAAGGCTGTCAGATTTCTGTTTGGGGAGATCGCTTTTGAATACACTGTTTGTCTACAGCTAAGAATGTAATACACCATCTGCAGCTATTAAGATCTAATGGGCAATTATTACTGCTTTCCAAAACAACAAAGAAACATTTCATTTCCAGATAGCAGTATTCCAATTAATTTGATGTTCTTAGCAAGATGTCTCTTAAACATAGATCTTCAAAAGTACTGCATTTTCAGGAATTTCACAAACAACCCACATCACTCCTTCCTTCCTGGGAATCTCTCCCAGNAAAAAACACTTAATTCATCCAATTTCTGACCTAGTTTCCTGCCCACAGCAATGCAGAAAACAGAAATCAAAAGTTTTTTCTGCCAATTAAATACATTTTCTGAAATACATTTTCAGTTCAATTCTGCAATCAATCATGGAGAACATATATCTGATTAAAGTATTGTTCCCAAGCATACTTGCTGTTCAACTTCTATGCTGAGGTAGTTTATGTTCTTTGCTTCTCCAGATTAAAGTGCTTAAAGTGCCTAAAACATAGGAAAACCGGAATAGGAGGAGGCCATTCAACCCACTGAGCCTGTTCTACCAGTTTATTATATCTTATCAGATCTTTCAGTGCCTGTCCTTTCATCATACTCAACAAACCTGCATTTATATAGTGCCTATCCAGGTAAGCATCTCCTTAAAACCTCTGCTACACAAGTATCTGTCTACCTCTCTTTTAAACAAGCCTATTGATTCTGCCTCCACAACTTAAGTATGAAAAGTGAAAAGGGATTCCAGTGAAGGGATACAGACCTTCACTGGATAATAATAGTTTGGAATAATACTTCAATCAGATATTTAAGAACATTTTGTTTACAGTATGTTTTACAGAATGCACAAGTAAACCGATCCAATACCCGAAAATAATAATAATCATCCATGCATTTGATATAGCGCCTTATCACTTCGATGAGACGTCTCAAAGTGCTTCACAGAATATACTGTAAAGTGAATTGCCTGTGTAGTTTGTGGGTGAAAGTGGGCAAAACCTGGCAGCCAATTGAGCACAGCAGTGTCCCACAAAGTCGTGGATTGAATGACCAAATTATTATTTTTTTAAGGCATTATTACCCCCAGAAAGCGATCCGCCATTCGACTAACTACCTATTTACTGCTAGATAAGCAGGCATGAAAAGTAAGGAAACTTGCTTTAGGATTCGCCCTGCCAGGGAATAGAACACGGATCCTCTCGCTTGAGTGCTCTAACCAATACACTACAGTATACTACATTACTATCTTATCAAATATTTGATAAAATAATTGATTGCCACATGGATAACTTGCATAGAAATTAATCTGAGTTGTACTTAAGTAACATCGTAACATCACCCGACTCCGCCACTACCTCACCCCTCAGGCCGCTGAAACTCTTGTTCATGCCTTCATCACCTCCTGGCTCGACTATGCAGACGTTCTGCTTATCGGCCTTCCCAACTCCTCCCTCCACAGCTACAGATAATGCAGAACTCTGCAGCCCGTGTCCTCTCTTACACCAAACTCCGTGACCCCATCTCCCCCACTCTTGCCCGACTCCACTGGCTCCCTAACCTTCAGAGGATCCAGTTCAACATCCTGGTCCTCACATACAAAGCCCTCCATGGCCTCGACCCACCCTACCTCTGCGACCTCCTAACCCCCTACCAACCCACCTGTTCCCTATGCTCAGCCGGCTCTGGCCTGCTCCACGTCCCCCAACCCACCCGCCCCACCATTGGCGGGAGAGCCTTCAGCCATTCTGTCCCCAACCTCTGGAATTCCATCCCCCAGTCACTCCGGCTCGCCCCCTCCTTAGCCTCCTTCAAGTCCCGCCTCAAGACCCTCCTCTTCGACCATGCCATCGGCCACTCCCCTTCCCCTCCCCTCCCTTACCCTCCCTACCCCAGCTCGGGTCTAAAATGCTGTATTCTGTCCAGTGCCTTGGGACGTCCTCCCAACGTGAAAGACGCTATACAAATGGAATCTTGTTGTTGTTGTTGTTGTTAAGTGACTACAGGGCACATGCTATGCATCTAGATCTCACCTAGATTTTGTATTTTACCTGTCTCGTCGAAAAATCCGCGGCAAGTATCTTCTGGGGAACCACATGCCAAAGGCACACATTAGAACCCAAAGGATAGCTAGCTCATCCAGCATCTGGCCAAGGAAGCTCAGAGTCGCATGAAAGTAAACTGATCCAATACCTGAAAAGTAAAGCACGGACAGTTTTGTAACATGATCAGATCCAACATGGATGTTTGAAGTAGATTATTATTTGTATACATTAATATGGAAGATGGGAACCAAAACATTCAAGTAAGTTTACAGATTTGAACTTCTCATTCGCTTTTCTCACAAGGCAATAGTCGATTTGGAAACCAATCACGTCTTGAGTCTACAGCATTAAGTAAAACTAGGAACATTAAAGAGCAGCTACATAAATCCGAGAATGTAACCTTCCATCAACTGTGCTGCATCTTGAAGCAAATATAAAAAGGGGTTTAGTCAATCTTGGTGTACTTCAGACCACAGCAGTATATACACACCAATAAGTGGGAGTGTGTTACAAGATTAAGATTTAACCGTATGGATTGGATGAAATCAAACAATGAGCGCAAAGCCAGAAGGGTCTGTAAACATCTGAACCAGCGGATGATCAATAAAACTCCCTGATGTGTTACTTTATGTTACAACCTTCCGCCCAAGGCATTGAAAAAACAATGATTTTAGTCAATAGAGAAAGTTTCACTAAATGGTGGTGCACCAATGTGCTGGAGAACTACCATACAGCAGAATGGTAATGGAAGATATAGGTTTGATCCCCGATCTCAGGTCTGCCATTGTGGGGATACCCAAAACAGTAACCCAGTACATCTCTAATTAATAGTCAGAAGGTGGAGGGGAAGAAATAAGAAACAATAGATAGAGTTTATCAATTAACTCCTTTTAGTAATTGGTTGACTAAACTCTAATTTTCAAAAGGAGCAAAATGCTACCTAAATGGAATAACATTTGTCTTAACTGACATAAACTGTTTCTGTTCGATGTTCGTACCAGATACAATACAGAGGGAGGTAACAAATGAACCTTCAGAACAGCAATTTTCTGCTACAAGTGAAGCCAATTCTTGACAAAAACTCAGCTGAGGCCTGAGACTAGTGTAATGTAATATAGGTCGCTGTGAGCTAAAGTGTGAACAAGCAAAGTCAAGCTCACAAGATCCCATGAATTGAAAGAATCTACCATCAATTTAATCAGAAACAACTTCAAATTCCAGGTAAGTGGTCCATTTCATACACCAAGATACAATGCAATATTCTTCAAACACAATCCCATCAAAGATTGGCAACTGACAGAAACAGCTCTTCTATGCGCTCTAAAAGAGTTGGGAGAGAGTTAATGATTTAGCATCGTCTCCAAATAATATATACATATTTTTCCAATTTTATTTCCCCCGAAAAGCACTGACTCTCTTGGTCAGATATGACCATCGTTATTTTACAAGATGACTAGATCACAAGACAGGATTGGCTGAAAACTAAACTTGTCACTTTTTAATGGAGACACCATTCTATGTATACACTGGGCATCTGCTGACTGGGATATTCCTATATTGCTGTGAGGTCCTGGAATGACAGACATGACATTTCTTCCATACCAGATATGCACAGCTCATGAAGGTGAGGACCCACGTCCCACTGTTTGCTAAAGCTGCAGATCATGGTCTTATTACCAATTATATACCGTCCTTCACGCAGGATAACATCTTTACAAGGTCACAATAACTTATTTTGACATAGTCAAATGGCCTCAAGGTATATCCCACTATTTGACTGTTAATAACAGATGCTCATTGACTGGAAATTTTCAGTAAATGATCAATAACTATACTCAAATCTTTTCACACTTTATCGTGTCCATGTTTTAAATTTTCTGTTTCAATATGAATTTAGCTCATATTTATTCATGTTAAAATCTATCTGTTACTCCTTAGCTGATCTATTTAATTGTTTCATACCTTTTTTAATGCCGCTTTATCTTTTTTAATGCTGCTTTAATTTTCTTCCTTAGCCACATATAGAACCATAGAAATTTACAGCATTGAAGAACGCCATTGGCTCATCATGTCTGTGCGATCACCCTTAAGAACAATCCTTTCAGTCCCATTTACCTGCCTTTTCGCCATACCCCTATAGTGGACTCTTTTTAAGGGATTTGTCTCGTTCTCTCTTGAAGGCCAATATAGATTCTGCCTTAGCTACTGCTCCCGGCAGGGCATTCCATATCCTGACTACTCTGTGGGTGGAAAAACATTCTCCTAACATCCACCATTTGCTCATTTACTAACTATTTTAAATTGTTGCCCTCTAGTTACTAACTCAGCAAGTGAGTCATATTTTTTACTTTGTATCTTTATATTATTAATAATGTCAGTATTCTCCTCTAGGTTATTTGTATGTAAAGCATTGTTTTATCATCCTTATCTGAAAGTTACCAATTAAATTGTTCCATTACCAGTATATTTCTTATTTATTTATGCATCAGTGTGAACTTCCGCAGCTCACTAGCTGCAATTGCTGAGCCATCTGATTGTGAGGAGCACAGGGATATACAGTGAGTTATAGAGATTGTGTATTTTGTAGGTGAATGGGATTTCTAATTTGGGCACAGTAATATTTCACAAACAACCATGAAGTGAATGATCCTTTTTATTTAGAATTGTGGCCTAAACACTGGAAGAAACACCATTCTCATTTTGAATAATACCAAGGGATCTTTAATGACCATCTAAACAGGTAGATGGGATCTTGGCTTACCATCTCATTTGAAAGAAGGCCCCTCCAACAATGCAGCACACCCTCAGCACCGCATTGGAATATCAGCCTAGGGGAATTCAAAGACACTATGTGGGGTTTGAACCCACAACCTTATGACTCAGAGATGAGAGTGCAACCAACTGAGCCAGGCTGACACATTGTCGGGACATCTCAAAGACAGATCAAGACAGGGTAAAGTACTTTGCGACATTTACACCCTGGTATTTTATGGCTTGGCACCCCACGACCTGGCTCGTACCGTAATGCACATTTCAACCCAAATCATCTCTAAACTAACAAAACCTGGGGTAGCCCTAATGGTGTAGTGAATGGAGCTCCAGAATACAGCACACAGACTGGTTTGAAACTTGACCTGTGATGAGTTTGACGTTCTCTGCCAAGGAAACATGGGGAAACTGAGTTGGGCTTTAGTCTGCCCGGGGTTAGGGAGGATTTAGCAAACTCAGGTTTTCTGCTCCTGGTACCTCTTCAGGACCTTTCATTGGGAGTGTGTGCATGGCAACTAGGTGAGGAGTGGTCAGACCCAGCTGTGATGCCCACTAGTCGAGTGGCCTGCCATCACTCACACTCATTGCCAGGGCTCAAGTGGGAAGTTTTCCCAATCAGTTCCAATGGTTTTCCCAATCAGTTCCAATCATGTAAGACAATGTCAATTTATTAGTTTCAATCAAGAGCAGGTTTCTGTCACCTCAATCCCGTGGAGGGCAATATGGTAAATTAATATTTATTGCAGTATTACTATGAATTTAGTATGAAACTGGTCTGTGTGCCTCGGCAAGTTAATTAATAAATTCAACGACCAGCTCGGGTCCAAATCCCTGACTGTCCAGCTCCCTGGGATGTCCTCCTGATGTGTAAGGCGCTATATAAATGTAATCTGCTGTGGTTGTTGTTGTTGTTGTACGTGCCATTTGTTTCCATCACAGATGAAACTGGATCTCACTGGGACGAGGGATCAGGAGTGCTCCCCACACTCAATTATAGCAGGATTAAATAGAAGTTCTTGGGAATAAAATTTGAAGCATAGTCACTCTAACCACAAGAACCTTGAACTGTCCTAGACAGTTATTTTTTCCCAATGATACGGCTGTCACACCTGGTTACTGATTTGGTTCAAGGCTCCTCTCCGAATGCTTCACATATTTTAAGCGTGAAAGGAAATGAAACACATATTGAAAAGAAAAAGCCATTAATTTTTAATCTTCCCAAGAGACTCACTAATAAACTGTTCAAGTAGGTGTGTGCCACAAAGCAAACTTATTGTCAGACTATCATTTGATAAAACAGTCAATTCACTTTACAGTATATTCTGTGAAGCGCTTTGAGACGTCTAGAAGACCTGAAAAGCGCTATATCAAATGCAAGGATTATTATTATTATTAACTGCATCAGAAATTCCTATGTGGTTTCAAGCAGCGGTTAAGTCAAATCATTTGGATACTGTATGTAAACTTCCAGCACCGTTTAATCTTATTTAATAAGGCTCTGTATACTATTCAGGCGCCAGATGGTTTCAGGAGCTCCAAATAAATATTCCACTGTTATTCTGATTGGAAGCCTACTCTCCATGCTGGGAGCATGATCAAAGGCTGTAATTAAGACAATCTCAGAAGACTTCACTGTAGTTTAAAGCAGGGGTCCCAAATAATCCATTTTTTAAAATTTAAATCAACATCTACAAACAAAAGTGGTAATTCAGCGATTAATAAAAATAATAGATGTCCTTCTGATGTGATACGGCGTGATACCAAATGCAAGGATTATTGCATCACAATCACAAGGCATCACAATAACAATTTTACATTTATGTAGGGCTTTTCTCATGGAGAGGATGCTTCAAAGTGCTTCACAGAGTTGTAAAATACACCCAGTATTATACAGTACCAACAAAGAAGAAATAAGGTCAGATTGTTTTCAAGGCCAACTGAAATTGATTGTGCAAAAGTGCACAAGATAATAATAATAATCCTTGCATTTGATATAGCTCTTTTCACATCTTCTAGACAACTCAAAGCGCATTTTCGAGACATCTCAAAGATGTTCACTAGTCCAGCTTCAATAAACCTTTGCAAAATCTACGCAAACACTATTTCAGTGAGCGAATAGTGAGCCGTGGAATAGGCTCCCTAGGGAGACGGTTAAAGCAGGAAGTGTTGATTCTTGCAAACACAGATTAGATAACTTTCTTTTAAGAAATAGCATTATGGGATGTAGAACATAGCTAGTTCGGGACTTATACGCATTCGACTGCCAGGAAGCTGGAAGGCAAACTAGATGGACCTTGGTCTTTTTACATCTAGCTCTTCTGATGTTCTTATGATTAGTCTCAAAAATAGTGAGCTGGCAAGGAACATCTAGCATTGTGTGTTCCTATGATCTAAACTACTGGAATAATTGTTTCTCCTTTTTGTTAAGTTGATTACATAAAATAACATAAAAAGGAAGCAACACACATAAGCCAAACTGATAATACTTTGGAATTCTAATCAAAGCTTGCAGTAATCACCATAGAGGGAAATAATAACATGGCTCCCTCGATGACTTTGGATACTGAGGCTTGCAGATAAGCATAGTCCCAAAGTTTATCCCGGACTTGTGCAGAGTTAACAGATCTCAGTCAGACAGTGATAAGGACAGAGTATTTGAAAATGAATGCAATTAAATAATACAACTTACCTACAACGACAAGCAGTGCCCAAATTAGGTATATCCCACTGTTGAAACATGTTGCATATTGACGGAATAAGCACATGCAAATGGGTGGCAATACAAAAAACAAAACATTGCTGATCTGCAAAATAAAAGTTATAGATACAGTATTCTAGCACAGTATGTATAAAATCATGTCAGCAGCAATTAATAATATCAATATGATTTCAACCACAAAGCATGGAGACAACCACAAGGTTTTTCGCTACTCAGGTGCTTTCCCCACATTTCCCCTTCTCCACATGCACCTCTGACGTAACTCAGCACCCATATGAAACTATTCCCTAGCTGAGGACATTGATATCAAAGAGATACACAGACCAGTTTATGTGGTCGGAAAGGTAATGATGTGCCCCTCTTCTCAGGAGAAATCCTAGGCTCAACTCTTCCATATCTAAGGATGTTCCCATCCCATGGTTTAGTTTATGTTTTACCAACCCAACAATATGCTCTAAAATATATATAATGATCATTGCATTTGATATAGTACCTTATCATGTCATCATGATGTCTCAAAGCACTTTACAGGATTTACTGTAAAGTGGTGTGACTTTGTATTTTTTAGGCAAACCATAAAAGGATTATGATTTAAATTATAAACAAATTTGGTACTGAAGGTCATCTTCTAGAGTTCAATGAGTACAGTATCCCTCTACTTACAATTAATCTACATATTACCATCTGTTAAGTAAATAGAACTGAATCCGACTTTCAAATTTGGTAGCCAAAGTCCCAAAGTTATTTTATATTAGCACAAATTGAAATGATTGGAGAGATGAAGGCTTGTGTGCAGTATTAAGGCTGGTATGGACTAGTTGGCCTAAATGGCCTGTTCCAGTAGTGTAAAGTTTACGTAAATGGTGTCCACCCAGTCCCTGTGAAGCGCTCTGAGACCATTATCTGACATGAAGTGTGCTGTACAAATGTAAGTAGTTGTAATTCTTATGTAACTCATAACTGGGGAATGTTTTCAAAATGTTGTGATGTATTAGACAAGAGTTCAGAAAACATAAGGTTGACCCACCCTCCCCCACCTCTGGTAACCTCAGCAAAGCACCAACCCAACAGTGTGCATTTAAAGGGAACCAACGTATGAGTTTCACAAACTGAGACTGGAGTTACAGTACTATATTTAGAAGCGAAACAAAAAAATAAGAAGCAAATTTGGAGTTGAATGCTCAATTGTTGTTACTGTTGTGTATGTGTGCGTGGAGTCCTGTAGCTCAGTGGTTAGAGTAATCGCATTGCAAGTGAGAGACCTGAGTTCAATTCCAGGCAGGTCAGGATGAAACCTTGGGCAAGTTTCCTTACTCCACACAGAGCCTAATAATAATCCCTCCAAAACCAAAAACAATAATAAATTGGTCATTTTCAATCCATGACTGTTTGTGGGACATTGCTGTGCGCAATTGGCTGCCGCGTTCGCCCACAAATATACAGTCAATTCACTTTACAGTGTGTTCTGTGAAGCGCTTTGGGACGTCCTCCCGACGTGAAAAGCGCTATATCAAATGCAAGGATTATTATTATTATTATTATTATAGGTGGTGGGTGGGGGGGGTGCAGAGATAGGGGACCAATATGCTGTTGTTTTCCAGTGGGTTAGTACTGACAGCACAATGTCCAGCCTTGTCACAATTCCTCTCCAAACTGCATTCAGTGAAGGACAGTCTGGACTTCATTGCTGGAAGATACTGTAATTGCACTAAACTGATTATGCAGTTTTATTAAATTACAGTGCACACGAGTTATTTTTAAGCAGCCATCCACATATAACAGGTCCCGTCGAGGGATGGAAACCCGAGCTTAAGTTTTAATAAGGTCTCGTGTTTTAAATGAAATGTGAAATAGATATAGCACTGTATAAAGAAGAGAGAGAGAGAGACCAAGACTGAGCAGTACAGAGCCATGTTAGGAGAGATCGTGTAGTGTTTAGTGCAAATATGAACTGTTGTGGGGGAGGGGGACAGGTCTGTCTGTGAAATTAAATACTTACTGTTGGTTTATATCAGTGTCTGTGGAGGAAGAGACATACACAGCACTTCCGCGAGTGGTGCAAAAACAAAAATAAAGCAGCAAAAGCCAACCCCCTCGGATCTCTTCCTTATTATTATTATTATTATTATTATTATTAGGCTCTCCTACCCCACTCCTCCTCTCCCTCCCACTGTGAAACTGTTAATACAATCAATCACACAACCAATGCAAAGTTGCCAGTCAGTAAGAAGTAACACACAGAGACACACACACACACAGACAGAGAGAGAGAGAGAGAGAGAGAGAGAGGGAGAAAGAAAGAAAGAAAGAAAGAAAGAAAGAAAGAAAGAAAGAAAGAAAGAAAGAAAGAAAGAAAGAAAGAAAGAAAGAAAGAAAGAAAGAAAGAGTTCATCTCTTCCCTCTGATGCGCGACATAAACTTTCTGCAGCAGAACATGGCACATACACACCGTGTTGTAGAATTCAGCGATGTTTGAGACGATCAGGTAATTGCCCTCACACCAGTCCACCTCCGAGCTGCCAGCCTGCAGCTGGTTCCAAAACCTGCTCATGGTGGTGGTGGTGGTGGTGGTTGTTGTTGTTTGTTGGTTGTTGTTGTTGTTGTTGTTGTTGGTGGTGGGGGTTTCAATCCGAGTTGCAGATGTGCTGAGCTTTCAAACCCGATGCCCTCCTCCTCTTGTCTGCAAAGCCTCAGCCTCTGGTAAAGAAACTTCAGGCAGCGCTGATATGAAGCCTCTCACTCACTCACTCACTCTCTCACTCACTCACTCACTCTGACTCTCTCACTGCGCTGTCACTCAGGGCAGCAGCAGCTGCTGTGTGTGTGTGTTGTCCTCCTGCCCTCACTCTGGGCTTTCCCCTTCACGTGAGCCATCCTCGTCCCACTGTTTACCCGCTCGCATCCGCTCTCCCGACTCCTCCTGACTTGGGAATGGGAAATGGACCGTAACTGACTTTTCTGCAATGGGGAAACGGACGCTGTTGCGGGACAGAGAGAGAGAGAGAGAGGGAGAGAGGGTGAAGCCACAGTCTGGAGACAGCACCATCTCCTGGTCCAGAGCAGCCACCAGCACCGCACTGACCTGGGAGCCGTCTTGTGACTCTCCTCCAGGGCTTGGATGTTGTTTTACTCCACTGAGTGTGTGGCAGAGGGTGAAACCCACCACCACCCTTGAGAGAATCCGAATTAAAGAGTTCCACATTTGTATGCTTTTACAGGGTGGCTCAGTGGTTAGAGCGCTCGCCTCGCAAGCAAGAGGACCTGGGTTGGATTCCCGGGCAGGGCAAAATCTTTGGCAAGTTTCTTTACTCCGCACGCCTCTCTCTGTTTACCTAGCAGTAAGTAGGCACCAGGTTGTTAGTCGATTGGCAGATCGCTTTTCCGGGGATAATAATTCCTACCATAAATAATCATAATAATAATGTCGGTCACTTCAATCCACGACTGTTTGTGGGACACTTTCGCCCGCAAAATATACAGTCGATTCACTTTACAGTATAGTTTGTGAAGCGCTTTGAGATGTCTCAAAGATGTGATAAGGCGCTATATCAAATGCAAGGATTATTATTACACATGGAACTTCCCCTGTGTTAGGTCCAGGTTGGCAAGAAGCAAGGGTTGAGGGTCCGAGAATGTGTGTTGGGGTAGTGCTGGAGTCCAACCAGCTAAAACTGTATTGCTTGACACTGCCTATCAAGCTCCCTCCAGCTAGAACCACCCTATCTGTTAGGGCATCCAAGAATCACAATTCCCTGCTTTCCCCCCCCCCTTACTCTTAGTACCCTTCTGCTTGACCAATTCTTTTTTTAAAAAAATGTCCCAGTCAAGTGCTCTAACATCCATCCCTGGAAACCCTCGGAGGGAAATTTTTCCGAACCTATCCTTTCACTCTCCAGTTACAATCTTAAATGTATGCCCTAGTGTTCTCAAATCCCCTAGCAGTAGAAGGAGTTTTCCATGATTAATTCTCTCAAACCTTTTCATAATCTTCAACACAATACAATGCAAAATACATTTGTAAATGTATTACACAAAATACACCTATTATAGCACCCTTAAATCATTTCTGCTCCAATGGCCAGAGTCTAGGCCTTTCTTGTATCTCTTCATAGCTCTCTCCTTTCTTCTTTGGTATCATTCTATGCTGCACCCTTTTCCCTTTCTTGAATATTTTTTCTCTGAGGCATCCAAAACTGCACACAATAAATAGTCCTGCTGTGGTCTAACCAATGACTTACACAGATTCAACATTGCTTTCTTATTTTCATATTCAATGGCTCTGTATCTAATACTCAGAATCCTATTGTTCCTTGTATTGTTCCTTTTCCTCATGCAATCCCACTTTTAATGAACTATGTATTTCTATTCCCAGAGCCCTCCGCTACTCCACTCCATTAAGAATTGTACTAACGCGGATAAAATTCCTCTTTATCTTTCTCCCACCACTTGAGTTTTCGGTGCACCGCTTCACATTGAATTCCTTTTTCTGCATTGAATTCCTTTTTCTGCAAATCTGCGCACTTGCTAACCTGCTAGTATCTGCCTCTAGCTTTCTGAACTCTTTGTCTGATAGCAATGCCTCCAAATGAAGGAACAACTGCAAATTTAGATATTATTCTCACAAGACCTGTATCCATTTGCTTTCTGCAACCCTCAGGGGTGGGAATCAGGGTTTGATGTTTTCAGCTGTACTATTAAAGGGGAACACATAACCAACAGAAGGTCCACGAACAGCGCAAGGAAAAATCAGGTACTGGAATCTCCATCAGATTGGGTTTGCCTCTTTTTCCCCACTACAATCCTTCTCCCCTTTACCATCCTCCCCCACCTCCACTGACTCAGTTTCTGTCTAGGTATTGGAGGGACAGAAGGAAAACAGTTTGTAAAAGAAAGGTTTCTGAAGGGAGTCATTCATTGCTTACGAAGGGTTAAATTTGACAGACAGCAATGTTGCAGATGGATCACCAGCAGTCAAGATAAGGCTCTGGGGCTTGTCAACAGAATATCTTAAGTGCTGTCTAGATGTTGCTTGCTTCACTCGTGGTGGATCAGGCCAGGTAGTCATGTGCAGTTCAGGGCGGCAACACCCATTGACATTTCCAGGTAATAACCTGCAGATAATTGTTCCATCATCTTGCAGTGATTATGAGAAATTATCATTGCAATAACACACATTGCCACCCAGTGGCAGCTTTTGACATGACTCTGAGTCGCAGTATCCTTGATATATGTATCTCTATACTTCTATACTTTCCTGTTTCCACTTTTAACCTTCCTCAGTCTATTCAACCTATCTCTTCTACCAGCTTCTCCTTCTACTCCCAAATAGTAACATGTGGTGTTCTGCAGGGTTTTATCCTTTGTCCATTCAGTTTCCTTGTAGTAATGCTTCCCACTTAACCTTATCATCTGCAGATTTGGGGTCCACTTCCGTTTGTACATGGTTTGTACTGTCTCCATTATTCACTCTAGGACCATTGTTATTCTGATGGACAGCATGTCAACAAATCAACGTCAACAAAACCAAGGCTATTATTATGCTCAAGAGTCAACACCTCCTCATTTAAACAGTGACAATATCAACCTCTCGGGTTGAGAGCCCAAGGAAACCCATATTGATTTGCAGATGTTATCTGACCCTCACTTCTGTTTTTTATTTTGGCTCAGACCAAGGCTGCTTTCCTCCATTTCCACATCACGCATCTCAATCACGAATGCATAATCTCATCCATCCCTCCAGACTTGACCTCTTGCACATCAACAACAACAACAAGATTCCATTTATAAAGCGCCTTTCACGTCAGGAGGACGTCCCAAGGCGCTGAAACCTATCAACCTATCCAGCTTCATGCTATACTAGCTCCAGATTATCCAGAACTCTTTAGGCTGGATTGTTCTCCACATTCGGCTCTGTGAGCCCATCCATTCTTGCCTGGCTCCACTGGTTTCCTTTCCTCCATTAGATTGACTTTGTAAGATCCTCTTTCTTACCTTCAAATGCCTCCTTAGCCATACCCGGAACCTATCTCTGCAATCTTCATCAGTCCTACTATGCGCACCTACTCCATTGCCAACTCTGGCCTTCTTCATGTCACCCCGCCTGACCCAACTCATCATTGGCATGCGATTTTTTAATGACTGTGGATTTGCCCCTGAAACCTTCCACCTTGTTCTCTCCCTATCCCAGAGAGGATCGATTTCAAGATCCTCACCGTCGTATTCAAGTCCCTGCACTCCTCTCACCCCCCCACCTCTCTGACCTCCTCTCTCCTCAGCACAGTACCCGTTGCCTTCTTTCCTCCGGGTCTGGCCTCCTCCTTGTCCCCCGAGTCCTCTGCTCCACCCTTGGCGGCCGTGCCTTTAGCCCCTACGCACCAAGGCTCTGGAGCTACCTTCCTCACTCCCTTCGTCTCGCTCCCTCCCTTCCCATTTTCAGGTCTCTACTGAAGACCTTTCTTTTCGACCGCGCCTTTGGTCACCTTCCTTCCCTCCGCCTGGCTCGGTCCCAAGATCCTAAACTGTAAAGCGCTCCGAGACGCTGTCCGGCATGGAGGGCGCTATATAAATCCAAGTTGTTGTTGTTCTCTTCCTCTTTGCTTTCAAAGCACATGTAAAAACCTATCTCTTCAACTGCTCCTCTGACCCCCTGCCCATTATTTCCCTGCCCACTTGAGCTCCCATTCCATCTTGCCCATAACTCCATGGACGGTAGTTCTGTGATCCAAAGTCCTGCAAATTTATTTCAGTGTTTTTATTGTATTTTCAGTTTACAGCGAAAAGCTGGCAACACAAGGTTATAACTCCTTTGCAAACCACTGAGGGGTTGATATCAGAGCAGAACAATTTCAAGCATTATCCTACAAAATAGGAGCAGGAGTAGGCCATTCGGCCCCTCAAACCTGCTCCGCCATTCAATAAGATCATGGCTGATCTACTAACCTAATTCCATTTAACCACCCTATCCCTATATCCTTTAATCCCTTTAGTTTTTAAAAATCTATCAATGCTATTTGAAAGAAGCAGAACATTACAAAACAAAAGGCATTTTTAAACCAAAGAACAAAGGGATATGTGGTATAAACAGTATAGCGCATGATATTTGATCGTTGGTTTGTGCAAATTTTCAATCTTGAAATAGTATTCAGTTGGATGATGCAGACTGAAAATTTGTCAATGAGAACGTAGAACGTAATAACTTGCACAGGAAAGGACAACTGCCTGCGCCTTATTTTACAGCTCTCATCTCCAGCTACTTTAATTTCTCATCATACATTTCAATGCTTTCCTTATCTCAGGAATCACTGAGGAAAGCCACAATTGATGTAAAGTGACCTTTGTTGAAAATGTATGTCTTGGAAATAATAATGTTAAGATTTTCAAAATCATATAACCCATCGCCATCCAAGGTGGAGGGAAGAAAGAAAGGGAGAGGCAAAACACACCCATTGGCCCCTATGGACTTGAACTTTAATGAAAATAAGGCTGTGGGAGTCTGTCACCCCACTCCTTGCCGGCAACACCGGCTTCCTATCCCAAGAGAATTGAGTTCAAGATCCTCAGCATCACTTTCAAGGCACTGTGACCATCACCACACGGTCAACTCGCGGCGCTGTCAGACGAGGGGCTGAGGGGAGGTGGTGACCGGGGGCTGAGGGGAGGGGTGACCGGGGGCTGAGGGAGGGGGTGACCGGGGGCTGAGGGGAGGGGGTGACCGGGGGCTGAGGGGAGGGGGTGACCGGGGCGGAGGGGAGGGGGTGACCGGGGGCTGAGGGGAGGGGGTGACCGGGGGCTGAGGGGAGGGGGTGACCGGGGGCTGAGGGAGGGGGTGACCGGGGGCTGAGGGGAGGGGGTGACCGGGGGCTGAGGGGAGGGGGTGACCGGGGGCTGAGGGGAGGGGGTGACCGGGGGCTGAGGGGAGGGGGTGACCGGGGGCTGAGGGGAGGTGGTGACCGGGGGCTGAGGGGAGGGGGTGACCGGGGGCTGAGGGGAGGGGGTGACCGGGGGGGGGGGGTGACCGGGGGCTGAGGGGAGGGGGTGACCGGGGGCTGAGGGGAGGGGTGACCGGGGGCTGAGGGGAGGGGGTGACCGGGGGCTGAGGGGGGGTGACGGGGCTGAGGGGGTGAGGGGGGGGGGGGGGGGGGGAGGGGGTGACCGGGGGCTGAGGGGAGGGGGTGACCGGGGGCTGAGGGGAGGGGGTGACCGGGGGCTGAGGGGAGGGGGTGACCGGGGCTGAGGGGAGGGGTGACCGGGGCTGAGGGGAGGGGGTGACCGGGGGCTGAGGGGAGGGGGTGACCGGGGGCTGAGGGGAGGGGGTGACCGGGGGGCTGAGGGGAGGGGGTGACCGGGGGCTGAGGGGAGGGGGTGACCGGGGACTGGTTCGCCAGACCTCAAAAATAACCTCTGTCGCCCCCAAAATCCACCAAACAGCGGCCCCCAAAAGTAGCCCAATATGGCGCGTTGGCGGCACACGGGGCAGCAGCAGAGCGGTCAGTGTTTTCGAAACTGTTAAGAAAAGGTCTTCAGAGGCGGAGAAGGAAAAACACGTTTTGCGTTGAACGCGTTTGACGAAAAATTCGGCCAACGTGCGCCGCGGCGAGCGTGAGGCCCGCTCGCCTTTGCCAAGATGGCTGCGCTTCCGCTTCCGGTGGCAGTCCGCCGTGCGCACGCGCACGTCCCGGGGCTCTGGGTCTCGCGAGAGCTGGGGAGGGTATCTGACTGGACGGAGCGGAAGTGCGGCCTCTTTTTCCGGGCGGGCGGCGCGGCGCGGCTGGTGTCGGAGGATGAAGGTGAGCGATGGCGATCATCCTGAGCCGCCGACCGACACAGGCTGGCGATATGGCCTCGCCGGGGGCCCCGCGCTGCACCCCGAGGGGCCCCTCAGGCGGGAGCGGGTGGGGGGAGGCGCGGGCGGCGCGGATGGCGGTGGATGGTGCGGCCGCGGCACCGGGAGGGGTAACGGCAGTCAACATGGCGGCGCCTGAGCCGAGCCCCGGGGCCTCCGACCCGAGAGGAGACGCGTCGATGCTCCCGACTCCCGGCCCTGCGCCCGGGTGTCCGCCCCGCGGGGAGGCTGAGGCGGCAGGGAGCGGGGTCAGGTCCTGCCCCCCCCCGGGCTCCTCACCCCCGGCCCCCTCATCCCCTCGAGCGGCCGCCCCCGGTCACCTCCCCCACACCCGGCCGGTGGAGCAGAGAGAGGGAGAGGGAGAGACGGGGAGAGGGTCGCTCTCGCTCTGCCCGGCGCCTGCTCCAGGTCCTCCACCTCCAGTCTCGGGCCAGTGTTTGTGGTGGGAAGAGGTGGCGGCGGTGGTGGTGGGTGTGTGTGTGGGGGCCACCAGTTGATGGACACGCGCATGGAAATAAATATGCGGAGCCCCACAAGTGCAGCGTTTTTTTCCCGGAGGGTGAGGAACACCCTCCTCACGCGGGGGTTGGCTGTTTGGTGGAGCATATTCCTAACCCCCAGGAAGGGGGTGAGAATCACTACAATGTGGCTACCTTGAGGTGGATCAAAATACTTGCTCTGCGGTGCCAGCTCTCCCCCCTGGACATGATTAGGTGCCGAGAGCGTAGTACTTGCTTCCCCAATCTATGGTTGAAACAAACGTGTAATAATACTTATAATAACCTTTCCATTTCATATAGCACCTTATCAAGTTGTTGAGACGTCTCGAAGTGCTTCAACATCAGTGTATTCGAGGAGAAACTTGAGAGTAAACACGAGAGAGACAGTCATAGAGATTTCGGGAAGGGAGGCTTGGGATAGGAGGACACTCGAGTGGAGGATCTGGCACGAAAACTAGTTGGGCTGAATACGCTGTTTGCTTATGAAGTTTATATGTAATGTTCTATTCGTGGGCAGTAACGTGTAGTCCAGAGTTGTCTGAGAGCTCTTAACAATGCCACAGGTTCCTCAGGAGGAGAAATTCTACAATGCACCTTCAGCACCTTGATATGAAGACCACCCACCTCCTGTGGGACATATTTCTATCCTAGGAGGAAACATTGCATTGCAAGCTTAAGGGGCTCACATCTTTATTTTCAGATTTTGTTATGCTGTGGTGTGACGGAAGAGAAGCAACGATTGTCTTCCTTGATGGAGTATGATTTGCATCCCTGAAGCTTCAGTAAAATTGACAAATGTTTGTTAGTTATTTCTTACTAACAATGATTAAAATACAAGGATTAAATACTGTACATTAATATAGTAAAATACTATAAAAGGATTAAAAATTGCTCATTCAAGTTTTCCAAAATAACATGCTGATTATTTTTCCACTTTCATAGCTCAACATATCTTTCCCAGCAACTGGCTGCCAGAAGCTCATTGAAGTCGATGATGAGCGAAAACTGCGAACTTTCTATGAGAAGCGGATGGCCACCGAGGTCGCTGCTGACACTCTTGGAGATGAATGGAAGGTATAAAATCCAAATGTTCAGTTCTCATAGACCAGTATTTGTTGGTTGTATCCACTAACACCATTAGTTGGGTGCTTTTCCACTCATGATTTAGTCTTATTGTGCTTTGCGAGTGTGCAAAGTTTGCTTTTTTGTCAGCTGGGTGTCGAAACCCAACACATGCTTAATAGTATCCAAATAGGATAGATCACTCCAGATCTGCCACCTGTACGTGGAAATTCCTGTGCTTCGAATGGAATATGCACCTTGCATATTCATATTGCATATGAAGGCTGTGCCTTCAGCCACTATGCCCCGAGGCTCTGGAACTGCCTTCCTCACTCCACTTGTCTCGCTCCCTCCCTTCCCATTTTCAGGTCTCTGCTGAAGACCTTTCTTTTCGACCATGTCTTTGGTCACCTTCCTCCTCCCTCTGGTTCGGTCTCGGGATCCGTTACTGTAATGCACTCTGAGACTCCGTCCGGCGTGGAGGGCGCTATATAAATCCCAAGTTGTTGCTGTTGCATGCCTAATTCCAGAGAGTATTGCGTGCAGATTGCCATGAGCCAAAGCTTGGGACCTCAGAGTGTACTTTTAGGCACTCCTGGAGTTTAACCAGGTAAAGCCACGTAGCTTGCCATTGAAAACACTCAAGCTTCTCCCGCTGCTTGTCCAGCTAGGACCGTTTTACCTGATAGGACTTTGGCTTACAGGGTTAACAGTTGCTGAGTGTGAAGAATCCCTTACCTGTAATGTTTGGAATGGAATAAACACCCCAAGTCTGCCCCTCCAACTCCTGACAATGAGCCAGCTTGGCTGCTCGGTTGTCAGCATGGCCATGGAGCACTGCAATCCTCTTGGCTAGAATCCAGATTACTGAGACTCATGGAGAATTGACTCAATTTCAATATTCTGTTGCCAAGCAAGTCGCCTTGGAGCCTGGCAGCACGCTTACCTCCGAAATTCCTAATGTGTATCTGCAGCCCACATGCTCTCCATAACCCAATCACTCTCATCCTTCCCGAATATTGGCTGCCTATCCTCCCAACAGTTCAAATCTTTAGATCATCTTTGCCCTCAAATGACTCCTGGCCACTCCCTCTGCAGTGCCTCCTTCATGTCCTTTATATCCACCATTTTGGATCTAAATCTTTGTGAAGCAGTTTGAAATATTCTCCCTGTGTGAAAATATTTCATAAGTGCAAATTGTTTTTGGGTGTTCAGGCGATGCTATTTACTCTCGCCTGGCATTTATTAGTTCTTAGACTAGCAATCTTCTTAGTTGATGTTAATTGAACTAATGGGAAATACAGTTACGATGGGGGATACACATATTTAGATGTTGTGAGTGCGAAGACATATTGGGCTCTGAGATTCTCAAATTGGATTTGAACTGCTAATTTCCAATGCTGTGTTTTATTCTGGCCGTTTCCAGACTCGGGCTGGCAATTTGTAGGCCTCATGTAGGCTGTATGTTAGCAAGTTTAATTTTATTTGTGAATATAGCAATTTGGACTACTAGTCATTCATTGATTTTACCAAAATGGGCAAACACTGTTCGTGTAATTCTGTCTCATCTTAATTCCTGAGTGGTACAAAAATCTGAAGTAGATGTAATGTCATGGCAGTAAAACATTTCAGTTTAGTTTACAAATACTGAATCTTTTTTCAGGGCTACGTTGTCCGCATCAGTGGTGGCAATGACAAGCAGGGCTTCCCCATGAAACAGGGTATCCTCACCAATGGTCGTGTCCGTTTGTTGCTCAGTAAGGGTCACTCCTGCTACCGCCCCAGGAGGACTGGAGAGCGCAAACGCAAGTCGGTTCGTGGGTGCATTGTCGATGCTAACCTCAGCGTTTTGAACTTGGTTATCGTTAAGAAAGGTGAGTGGAAGGTGCGCTCCTGGTTAAATCTTAAGTTGAAGGACTGTCTGGACCACAGAAGTAGCCCAGAAGAGAGCAAACAAGAATGCTCCTTTGTATTAAGAGAGAATTCATGAGTGTTGAATTTATTGCACGTATCGTGCTAGAGTGAGTGTGTGTAAACACTACTAAAAGTAGTGCATTTCTGTTTAGTAAAATGTTTTGTGCCATCTTTCAGGAGACTTTCTAACTGATCTTTTGTGTATGCTATTCATCATATGTTGCGTTGACCACCCCCCCTCCCCAACTCCGCTATCTAGTCATTTAAGATCATACAGTAATTCTCTTCTAGGAAGCTTGTCTTTCCATCTCCTGGGGTAGTGTTCCTCCTAATACCTTGCCCAAGTAGCTTTGATACTTAAACCTTGTGCCCTCTTGATATTTGCATGTACTCCTTCCAGCCAATGTCTATGGATCTAGGGGTGCTGAGGCTTAGTGACATGATTTCGGCTGTCTTGTCAGGTTTGTTTGCAGGTGTACAATTGCCAGCACACAGGCTGCCTGCATGGCATCAGCGCAGGTCGGACATGTCAGCACTGAACTGACCGCAGCATAATAAAAGTAAAACTATTTTGTCCCGATTTACAAAATATGTTGTGTCAATAGTGAATCCACAGAGAATATGTGAGAGTGCTGTTTCTTTGTTTGAGACTGTATGACTGAAATAGATAAAACCATTGGAAATTGAATACATTTAAGTTTCAGGTGTAAGGAAGCTTGCACCCTGTCAGAATATTCATGTGTTGTAGGTTCTGAAATGCACATATGGTGCAGAAAGTAACTGATTTATTGTTCAGTTTGTTAGTATTTACCAACTTGAGTTCTACTTTTTTTAAAAAAGTACTACCCTAATATTTCTGAACCTTTGGGTGAAATCCCCCCCCCCCCCCCCGCAAATGTCTTAAATCACAACCATTTAAGCACATTTGTGTTTACTAGAACTGACGAGTCATGTCTTATTTAATTGTTCCTTTTAGCTCTTTCAACACAAAGGATCATTCTTGTTTTCTTCTGTCCTTTCTTTGCAATTTATCATTTCAAATCTTAGCAGAGAACATTTTAGGAACATAGGAATTAGGAGCAGGAGTAAGCCACTTGGCCCCTTGAGCCTGCCGCATCATTCAATAAGAGCATGGCTGATCTTCTAACCTAACTCCATCTGCCCATTTTATTCCCATATCCCTTAATCCCTCTTAACCTTTAGAAACCTATCAATTTCAGTCTTGAATATGTTCAAGGATTGAGCATCAACAACAACATTGCATTTATAGAGCGCCTTTCACGTCGGGAGGCCGTCCCAAGGCGCTGTACAGTTGGGTCAGGACCCGAGCAGGGGGGAAATGGTCAGGGTGAGGGGAGGGAAGGGAGGGAGCGAGGAGGGGGGAAATGGTCAGGGTGAGGGGAGGGAAGGGAGGGAGCGAGGAGGGGGTAGAGAGTCGAGAGGGGAGCTGAAGGCTCGGTCAAAGGGAAAGGTCTTGAGACCGGCCTTGAAGGAGGAAAGGGAGGAAGCGGCGAAGGCACTGGGGGATAGAGTTCCAGAGCCTCGGGGCTGAGAGGCTGAAGGCCCGGCCACCGATGGTAGGGCGGTTGGGGCGGGGGAAACGAGGGTACGGGCAGGTAGGTAGGGGGATAGTAGGTCGGAGAGGTAGGAGGGAGCAAGGCCGTGAATGGCCTTGTAGGTGAGGATGAGGATCTTGAATTCGATCCTCTGGGGGATGGGGAGCCAGTGGAGGCGAGCGAGGGTGGGAGTGATGTGGTCGCGAAGCCTGGTGCGGGACAGTACACGAGCTGCAGAGTTTTGAATGACCTACAATCTACAAAAGGCAATCTACAGCCTTCTCGGGTAGAGAATTCCATAAATTCACTCCCCTCTGAGTGAAGAGGTTTAAATGTGGGATAACAAACTGATAAGGACAGTTGGAATTAAAATGGCACATGTCGGTTGCTGCTGGAACATAATCATACTTACATTTGATGTAGCGTCTTATCACATAGTCGAGACGTCTCAAAGCGCTTCACAGGATGTACTGTAAAGTGAATTGACTATGTTGTGGGCATTACAAGGCAGCCAATTGCACATAGCAGTGTCCCGCAGACTTTCTTGAGTGCTGTTTTCTTAAGTATTTGATTGTTTAAAATACTTAAGTATCTGGATCCCCCTCCCTGGAATATAGCATTGTAATTTTGTTTTTCGGGGATATCTATCCTCTATATCCGGGGTCTCCAACTCAGTGACCAGTCAATTACTGAGCCTTTGAAAGTCGATAAGTTTTACTTACTCATATCTCCCAAAAGCCCTGGGTTGTGCAGCACTGTCCAGTTTTAACCCCCAAACAGGTTGTGCCATTTGCTAGTTTATATTTCACGCAATAACATTGAGAGACTGGCGCATGCGCTCATAGCCATTGCTCAGCGCATCCTGGGAGATGTAAGCCAATTGCAAACCATTATGGGAGTGCGCGTGTACACAGCTGAGCCATGTCTCTGCTCAGGACATTTTGGGAGTTGCAGACCAAATGCAGGGCATCGTGGGAGATGTAGGCCATCACACTGAGACTTAGTAAGTAGAAGAATGGTTTTTACAAGTATATAATAATAATCCTTGCATTTGATATATATATATGTAGTTAGGTGTAGTATGGTAACAGAACTTCGAAGTATAAACCTTCTTGCTAACATTTTTAATTGTGTAGATCTTTAAACATATGGAAATCCAAAAGTAGATCCTCCTAAAAAGGTTGGAGACCACTGCTTAGGAATAGTTATAATAATAATAATAATCCTTCCATTTGATATAGCACTTTTTACGTCGGGAGGACGTCCCAAAGCGCTTCACAGAACACACTGTAAAGTAAATTGACTGTATATTTGTGGGCGAATGCGGCAGCCAATTGCGCACAGCAATGTCCCACAAACGGTTGTAGGTTGAAAATGACCAATTTTATTATTTTTTTTGTTTTTTTGGAGGGATTATTATTAGGCTCTGTGTGGAGTAAGGAAACTTGCCCAAGGTTTCGCCCTCTGCCTGGAATTGAACTCAGGTCTCTCACTTGCAAAGCGAGTGCTCTAACCACTGAGCTACAGGACTCCACACAGTTAGAGAAATCCTGTTTTAATTTCTACAAAACAAAATGTTCTGGACTTCCAGGGTTTCTATTTTAATTCCAGTCCCAACTAGTGTAGTAACAGAATCAGTAAGTATTGATAGCTATGAAAACCTTTTGCTAGCAAACCAATAGTGCTGGTTTCTTGGGAGTTGTGTGAGAAGGAGTCCTGTAGCTCAGTGATTTTAGCACTCGCAAGCAAGAGACCTGGGTTCTATTCCCAGCAGGGCGAAATGTTAGGCAAGTTCCTTACTCCCACACGCCTGTTTACCTAGCAGTAAGTAGGAACCCGGTTGTTAGTTGATTGGTGGATCGCTTTTCCGGGTATAATAATCCCTCAGGAAAAAAAATAATAACTGTGCGCAATTGTCTGCTGCGTTTCGCCCATAAATAGTCAATTCACTTTACACTATACTTTGTGAGGCCCTATATCAAATGCATATATTATTATAGGGCAAGGTGACTTTGTGTGCCATTGCAGCACATTCTCCAGAGATCCTGCTGAGATCCGAAAATCCTGAATGTTAAGATCTGTGCTGTGCCACTTCAGAAAAACTGTCATCAGTCTCTACAGTACCTCATTGTGCAACTAGTTTTTTTTTTGTTTTGCGTTTTGTTAAAAAAAAGCTGTTATACTGGCTTACATATTAGTGTTGAAAGTTTTTTAAAATAATAAGATTCTCTGTCAAAACTGCTGCTTGTGAGGTGAATCCTTTGCATGCAGTGCACTGACTGGGTAAAAGTCTGACTTGTGAACAGCTATTTAAAGAATCTCCCTTTTGAATAGGTGAGAAGGATATTCCTGGTCTGACTGACAACACCATGCCTCGCCGTCTTGGTCCTAAGAGGGCTAGCAAAATCCGCAAACTGTTCAACCTCTCCAAAGAGGACGATGTCCGTCAGTATGTTGTGAGGAGACCTGTGACCAAGGAAGGTGAGTGGAGTTGATTTATGATGTTTCACAGTTTAACGCTTTCCTGATGAATTTGTAATAATGTAGCATTTAATATAGCACCTTGTCATGTTGAGACATCTCCAACCACTTCACAGGATATAGGGTGGATTGACTATTCTGTGGCCGAAACATTTGGGTTGAAATATATATCAGGGACCCAAATTTAACTGGTGTTTTTGATTCTTCTTGTAGTAATGGGTGTGTGATCAGGTGTTTGTATATGTTCGTGCAATCTTGTTTTCTCTGGGGAGCATTTGCCAACTGGAGCTCAGAAAGGTGTGTTTGTGTGTGATTTAGCAGCTCTGGCCTGTATTGTATCTTGTTACTTTGTCTAATTTTTCCCCTATAGTAACATCTGAGATTAGGAATTGAAGAGAATGGAGACTTTTTTAAAAAAAGCAAGCTAATTGCAAGGTTTTACACTTCAGTTGGTATCCTGCTTTGACATGATGTATGTTGGGGGTGCTGTCTTGCGATCCGTTTTCACGCATTGTTCTGCTTCTAGGTAAGAAGCCTAGAACCAAGGCTCCTAAAATCCAGCGTCTGGTAACTCCTCGTGTCCTGCAGCACAAACGTAGGCGAATTGCCCTGAAGAGGCAACGTACTCAAAAGAATAAGGAGGCTGCAGCAGACTATGCCAAGCTTCTGGCCAAGAGAATGAAGGTGTGTATTTTAGAAATTGCCCTCGCTTTCTCTCATACAACGCTGAAGTTCCTTTTTCTTAGTCATATTTAGGAAAATTAATTTTCCGCCTGATGTCATACAGCAGACACCTGAACCTTGAATTTGGTGCATAAGATTTGGAAATGTTCTGCTATTTCTATACAGCACTGCTTCTGGCTTTGATGGGAGTGTTGTAAACTCAGTGATGTATTTCTGTTTAGCTGATACTTGGCTAATTTTTTCTTGCTGTCTCTGGAGGCAGTGATGTAAACTTCTGTTGTTAATGCTGCTTCTTAAAATAAAATTAGCCAGTGTTGAAAACCACAAATGAAATGAATACTGTGTATGCGGCTACATGCCGTCCCTCCCCTACAGTTTAACCAGCAAGTTACACAGCACCAAGAGCTCAATATCTAGTTTGTGCCATAAATGTTAGTCATCCAGGGAAATGTGTGCAGACAAGTAATGCTGGAAACTGATACAGTAATTTCTTGTCTGGTTTGATGTTTGGTAAAAATAGTTGCTGTATTGCTTATTTTCTCCATGTAACATGGAATGTTTTACTGAGTTGTGAAGGTTTCTTTGTGAACTGTTGTGAATTCTAGTTAGTAGTCTGCAGAAAAACATATAACACAACATGCAGATGGAGGTAAATGGTGGGTTGGTAGGTTTTAGAAGTTCACAAGCGCAGGTCAAGAATTACTTGATTAATACAGTCTGATACCATTTATAACATGGTACAAAGACCTTCCATGTTTGGTATTGACTGCTGGCTTCCTGCACATGGGACTGAAGACCTCAGTGCTTGGTAGTTGGGCATGTCGTGTGAATCTTTAGAAGTCTGACTGTGTGTGTTTCTGTTTCTGCAGGAGGCTAAGGAGAAACGCCAAGAGCAAATTGCAAAGAGACGCCGTCTTTCTTCACTGAGAGCCTCAACATCCAAGTCTGAGTCCAGCCAAAAGTAAAAATGAAAGACTAAATAAATCTTTTTATTTGCTGAAAAAAATCCTTGTTTTTTTTTACTCGTATTCAGTCAGACTTTTATTCGTGAGAAGCATGAGTTGTGTATTTTGGGAACGCCCTCATTTTGTTCATCAGTCATCTTTCCCCTCCTCCTGTTGCAAGTGCTTTGGGGTATTGATAGGAGGAAAAACTATTGAAATGTATTGTTTCCTAAACCTTAACTTGACTTAATAAGTGCATACAAGAGGAAACTAGACCTTTACATGAGGGAGAGTGGGAGTAAGGACTTGTGGAGTATAAACACCAGCTCCAAGTGATTGGCCTGTTTCTATGTAGTACATTCTTTGTAAATCTTTGACCTATTAGAAAACCTTTCTGTAATAGTTCTGGGAGCTGCTCTATTCAGAGGTGAATTACTACAAGGGATACAGACCCCATTCACCACTAAGTCCTGACAGTTTGGAACCCTCCCTCAATCTCTGCCTTTCCCTCTTAGACCATGCTTGGACTCTCAGTGACAGGCTCCAACATTGTTACGTGCTCAGATGCTACAGAAATGCAAGTTGCTGCTTCCCAGAGAATGGGCCTGAAAAATCAAGAGAGCATGGATTTATATAGTACTATTCACATAGGATAATGTCAGCACTTTGGTGGAAGCTGAGCAAAATGACCATAGGCTTGGTCACAGTAGTTTTTGATGTGGGATTTAAAGGCAGATGATAGAAGGAATAGTTGCTGAAGGCTTAGCAATGCCCAGCAGGCCTGATGCTAGGTTGTGAACAGATTTAAAGGTGAAGCGAGAATCTTAATCCATTGAGAAATGAGCCTCAGAATTTCATCAGCTGCTCTACATTTCACAATCCATATAATTTTGCTATTTTCATCAATGTTTTTGTATGTAATCAAATGGGTTGTGAAAAATTTCAAATTAACTTTAATAGAGGGGGAGATTAAAATCATTTTACTTAGTGACTCTTCTACTGCACTCCACCAAATTTGTGGGATCTCCTTCGAGCTGATCTGGCTCCAAGGTGACCGTGCCTGGTAATCCAATGTTGGAATCGAGCCAAACCTCTGTGGTGGTTTTGGTAGTCTGGTTCCTGAGCAAGGTGGCTCTGCAGTATTCCAGGGCACTGCTCATTAATGGCAAGACCTGGAAGGGCAGACCAGTCTCTGGGGTGAGGAAAGCATCCCACTCAGTTAATCCTGCAAGCTAAAGCACCCAACCTTATCCCTTCAAAGTGCTCAGAGGCAAGGCGCTATATAAATGCAAGTTTCACCTTTCACAGTCCTTCAATGCAGGTGAACTTACATTACTATGCTAATTGGCTGGAAAATAATGCAGCCATTGCCCAACACTGTATTGGAGTATCAGCTTAAGCAATGAGCTTGAAGTTCCAAAGTGGGACTCTGAACCCACTTCCTTCTGAGTCAGAGGGGAGATTGCTGCCAACTGAGCCAAGAAAGGCTTATGCTTGATAAATAATCCATTGGGTGGAGAAAATGCTCCAGGAAATATCCAAGTGACTGTGGGCCAGGGAATCACGATTTTAAATTTCACTCATCTTTAAATAGACTCAACATTATGTTCCCCCAAACAAGATTTGTACAATACTATTCTTTATTGAACAAGTAATTTTGTATACATTCACAAACATTTCATTTAGACAATCACACTAATAGCTGTTAAAACATATGTAACTGTACAAGATTTGGATCATAGGTGCAATCTGCCTTTTCTAGAAAAAGTGTTAAAATACAAAATTCATTATTTTTACAGTTTAATATGGTAAAGTTGGTTCAATACAAGATTACACATCTTTGCCATATCAGATATCAAAATAGAATTTTTGTCTCAACAGGATTTTGTACTGCCACCAATTACCCAGTGCACGTATTATTGTGCGTCAGACTTAAATCCCCAACCAAGGCTTCAAACATTCATCTGTGTGAGGGCATCAGTATAATTACTAACAGTGCTTCCACTGCAGAAAATCTATTAAACATTTTAAAATTACAGTATGCCTTTGTAAACTCAGTACTCGGACACAGTAGGAACTAAACTGTCAAACAGGATACCTTGACTAACCAAGAACAATCCGCAAACCTACTGCAGTAAAGCTGATTATTTCATCCTAAATCGCAGAGCTTCAAAGGTTAATTTACACAGGATGCAAACCAACTTACAACTTAAAATCTAGTCTTTGACGCTCTGCTATAAAATACAAAATGGTTGGAACCATTGTTTGTACAAACACTGCATTACCATATCTGGTACTTTATTTTAGTAACAGCAGATTTGCCTTAAGACAGTTTTTAGTGTTAGGAAGGTACAGTTTGCAAATTAAGACTTCCAAAGTAATATTGAATAAAACTTTTTCATTATTCTTGTGTATAATACATACTGTTCAATATAATGAGACAACAATGCTCCATAAATTGTTCATCCAAGTCTCAATGAGCACTTATTGTCTCACTCACTTCAATTCATGGAAAAACACCTTCCATCTTAATTCTAAACATCCAGTTCAAAGTATTCACATTACATACTTCAGACATAATTAAGGATAGTGGTTATATTCCAGGTTTCTGCAATTCTTTAGGATTAGATGAAGGGCGGGTCAAACGACTTCCGGCACCACTCTGTCCTGGTGCTGGGAGGCAAGTCGATTGGACGGGTGATCTTGAGTTGCTCTTGTGTCAAGCGATCGTAAGCCGTCTTGTACTCTCTATCAAAAGCATCTGTAACCACAAGAGTCAAGTCATTCAGAACAACAGCCAACGGGTATAAATTTCTGAGCACTAGAATGAAAGCTAAAATCAGACTTTTGTTCAGGGGGTATTTTTCATGTGAAACTAAAGGAATCGCAACTCAGCCTATTCTCACTGGATAGCCTTGATTAATTTTGCCTCTCTACCCCAGGGTCAAGGAGTTCAAAACTAGCACCCTCATTGCTGCACTGTCTGAAATCGGTTAACATTGGCCAAGGATCAATTCCTGGGGTTCAATGCTAGCATACCCACACTGAAAGACTGCGCCCTGCATTAACCTTCTTTTAGTGTCAGGTCTTGTGGAAAACTCTTAGGAACAGACATATTCAGCAGGAGTAAAGGACAGGCTCGCTGTTAAGCAATCTGAGATGCTACCCTGCATGAAGGCTCTAGATAAATGGCAGTTGTTGCTGTTGACAGCTAAAATGTCTTAATTCATGACAAAGTTCAATACTACTTGATGTGCAACACACTGTTGTGGACATTGGCGGTCAATAGCATTTCGCCCGTGAAACATACAATCAATTCACATTACAGTATATTCGGTGAAGCGCTTTGAGACGCCTCAATGATGTGATAAGACACTATAACAAATTCAAAGATTATTATTATCAGCACCACTGAAGCACTGCTGCTGCAATTATTTGATTTTACAAATCATTCGCTTACAGCAAGCGGTCGGGGGGGGGGGGGGGCGGGAGGAGAAAGAATAATTTTAAGAAGGGGATGGATAAAGTCTGCTACAAAACTGAAAATTCTTAGCTCAATACACGTGTCAAATTACATCTAGCTTTACTTACCTATATCAATATTCTCCTTCCCAAGGGCCACCAGGGAAAGAAAAAGAATCTCTCTGTACATGCTCCTACAATGAAACAAAACTCCAATGACAATCCAGCATTAAGACATAACTATAATTAGTATTTGATACAACATCTCGTGACTAAATCTACTATTGTTCACAATGACAAACAGGAAAAAGATGCTTCTAGTTTGAAGTTGTTACATTCATCAGGAGGTGCAAACAACAAAGGCCCAGTACAACCTGGGCATTAACATAGATTGTTTAACTTGGTGACAGACTTATTTTAGATATTTAGTTTAATATTTGCATTTGGAATGAAAATAGCCCCACCACAAGAAATCAGATGAAAAATACAAAGAAACCCCAAGCAGAATTTCTGACCTTTGTTGCTTATTTCCAGGATGTTTGCTGATCTCCCTCAAGAGTAGGCATATGGGACCAAAAACATCATTCGTCTGGATGCTTCTCACAATACTATGCAGGGGACTCTTTTCTACCTGACTGTCTGGAGCTAATCCACCTTCCAGGTTTTTGTCTGTACATAAAAAATAAAGATCATCGGAAATTTGGTTTGCTGTTCTGTATTTCTGCAGTTTACACAGACAAAATCAATTCTTCAATAATCTTAGCAGGAGGAAGTTTCTTTTTGTATAATTTGAAAGTAAGAGGGTAAATGAAAAGCATTTTATTTACCTTTCCAATTATGTGAGAATGTACAGACAGTTTATTGAACAATATAGTGGAGTCCTGTAGCTCAGTGGTTAGAGCACTCGCTTTGCAAGTGAGAGACCTGAGTTCAGTTCCAGGCAGAGGGCGAAACCTTGGGCAAGTTTCCTTACTCCACACGCCTTATAATAATCCCTCCAAAACAATAATAAATTGGTCATTTTCAATCTACGACTGTTTGTGGGACATTGCTGTGCGCAATTGGCTGCCGCGTTCGCCCACAAATATAGAGTGAATTCACTTTACAGTGTGTTCTGTGAAGCGCTTTGGGACGTCCTCTGGATGTGAAAAGCGCTATATCAAATGCAAGGATTATTATTATTATTATGTGCTAATTCAATAGTCTGCAAGCCAGATTGCTCCATTGGATCTGTGCAAATAATGTGAATGAAATTGCGTAATATCATGGAAAGAAACTTTGTAATGTAGAAATCCAAAATATAACTTGTCAGAATATTCACTTTCAAGGACAATGTGTTGATCAGCTTTAAATCTTCGCTTCTTGCTTTCCCCTGCTCCGTAGGCTTGTTTAAAATTACAAACATTATTCTGAAATCAGTATAAGTGATAATAATAGCTGGTTTGGTATGCTTTAAATAGAACAACCCAAACCATTCTATTTAAAGACCTCCTTTCAAAAATCAAATAAACCTTTTGTCCATTTTTATTGGGTGTTGATGGATATTCAGTTTGGACTTATTTTTTCTATACTCCTTTTGTGAACAGGTCCACTTAGGAATGTTATTGACACACATATTTGCTTTACATTAATTCGTAACTACTTGTTTGAGCATTTTAAGATTGCTCCCCTGCTCCAACTAGCATCAATAATGATCAAACAATAGAATGCAAACTCAACTTGAATTAACTTAATAAGCTAATCTAAAATATTCTGTGCTTCAATACTTCAGACAAGAGGAGGGTGAACAAGTCTTTTTATGAAGTCAATCTCAGTTACTTACTCCGGTTTCTCCAGCATATATACATGGGATCACCAGGCTCTTGATGGAGATTAGTGTTGTCCCAAAGCAACTGTATGTAGACCAATTTACTGTCCTGGGGAAAACTCGACTGAGGTATCTGAGATGAGAAAAAAAAGGATTAAGGGCTTTGGAACCTGAGAACTTCATCCAGCACAACCTCTTCCCAGATTCCCATACATAGCATCCACTATCGGGCAGAGCGTGGCGGGGAGAGAGAAGATAAGCAGAAACTCCCCAATTCCATTGTGACATGATTGATAACTAGCTCATCCATTTCAAATAAAATGACCTGGAACAAACTTTTCACTGGGTCCCTGGATTCTTCCCACTCAGCTCTTGAAAACCCTGCAAGTCAAGATCCCAACAGGTCTGGTTGACCTAGTGAATCCATGGAGGGATTTCAAGACAAGAATGAAGATCTTGAACTCGATCCACTGCGACATGGGGAGGCAATGGAGCCGGGCAAGGATGGGGTGTTCAAGACTCTCCCACTGACATTTTCTTTTGTAAAAAATAACATGATTTTGCAGGATTCCTAAAAGTCATTAAAAAGACTTACACAAAAGAAAATTATTAAGAGAGACATTATTTTAAATGGAGTTTACTAGTGTGAACACAAAATGGATGGATGGTTTCCAGACCAGGTAGAAATCAATGAGTGAAAATGTGGTAAAAGGTAAAAGGCAAGTGCCACTGATCCAACACACCTGCAGTCCTCTATTGCAATGCTCAGAAGTCAGGATGAGATCAGGCAGGTTGCTTGGCAGATCGAGCCTCCTGAAGTACCAAACAAGATTCCAGAAAATGATTGGGTGCTGGTTGATAAACGTAGAGTTGTGAATCACTTGGTCTCCCTCATTCTCCAGTAAAGACTCCAACTCCTTACGCAACACAAGAGGACTCAGATATGGTACAGACACAGGCGTGGGATTAGGTCGATTTCCCAGCCCCACAGTATCCTAGGACAAAGTGCACAAATTTAAACAGTTGCAACATCAAATGTACTTCAATATCTGTTGTCTAGAACGTAGCCTTCATTTTCAAAAATAAAAAGGGAAATTAGGTGTTAAGCACTTGAAGTAAATTTCAAATAATGATGATGAAGTTGTACCCCTTTCTTCTCTCTGGCAGATCATTTATATTTATACTGAAAGGATAAACATATAGGTTTGGTTTGCAAAAGGCAGTCATTTATACACTCAAAAATAAACTTCATGCCTTATTCTTGTGTTTAACAACAACTTGCCCTTCATGCAGGGTAGCATTTTGAATAAGTTTTAAACAAATTTAAACAAGTAATAGACAAGACTACAATGATGAAATCAAAGTCTAAATTCATGCAGGATTTTTAACAGGAGATCAACTCTATTTAAAACTGATGAGATGAAGCTGAACTTGTACCAACATTTTTATAAAGTTTTACCCAAATGTTCACAATGGTGGTGACTTGAGAGGAAATGGCATGTTAAGCACATATTGACTTGACAACTTCTGGTAAAAACTACACTTTCACTTTCAGACATAAAATATTTCCACAATGCAAGTGTTGAAAAATTTAAGAATTACATCCCATTCCAATTTGAAAGTCAATGGCAAGCAGAGAAGCCCTTACCCAATATTAGCCCAATATTTCCTCGCCGAATTACAAATCAGTATGCAACCAGCTTTTTTAACTTTTGCCATCTTGCAGTCCCCCAACTGATTGTTACGACATCAAAACCAGATAAGGCCTGTCTTCCTTTATCAAGTCCATACACAACCAATGGAACTAGCCTCAAGAATGTATAGCTCCAATCGTTAAGAAAAAAACACTGCAATTTGACAACATTTCAATATCCAGCAGGTGGCGCTCCTGTTAAGATGTTGAACAGGTACACCATACATACCAACAAATATGTACGCATCCTAATCCCTTAGAGCTGCAATGTATTATTTATATTGGGAATGCAATTTTCTCTTGGTGCCACTGCTGATGGATTGTCATGGTTATTTTGTGGCTGGCCACCAGTCTTACACTTCCATCCATTCAGAGCAATTTCTATGAAGCAGCCCTACCAATTGTACAGATTTTTTAATCCACTAATGGGCCGTCCTTTCAGGCTAGTTCTGAGTTAATAAAGATTTTTAAATACAACATGGAAAAAAAAGAGTAGTAACAAATAGTTTAAAAAGCAAAAGAGTCAATTTTGTATGTGGAATCATACAGTGAGCTAGTTCAGTCAAGTTGGTCCATTTTCACGACTTACTACACTAATTATTTACCGCAGTTTCCTGTAGGCTATTCGGGAGGCTGGTTGTTGAGATGCCATGCGTTGGTCTCTGGGACACATCCAGGTTTTGCAGTGGGCCACCTGTACTGTAACTTCGAATCAAAGCAGCCGTCCATTTAGGGGGTTCATCGTTAGCATTGATTTTGTCTAGCGACTCCTGAGGTTCCTTTGATGAAGCGCTGGTTCCAGAAAAGAAAAAAAACCTATTTAAAAACCTGCTGTAAAAATGCACTTGAATTTGCAGATTCACCAACTCAAATTCTATATTTCATACATACTGTATATACAAATATACAAACCTCTTCTTTAGTGCAAGACTGTTTAAAATACATCATTTTCTGGATTTACCCATATTACAATCATATCAGATTGAGGAGACACAAATGGTAATTTGCTTGCAACACTTTGGAATTTCTAATTCTAAAGTTGTCCACAAGGAAATGGGCAAGTATGGGCTGGGGTGATACCCCACCTCACGTGTTGATCTCATGTATGCAGACCTCCACACAGTTATGGAGCTCAGGTCCACATACAGGTGATCAGGAGTGCAGGCCTTGGGTTGATGCACAATACAAAGAGAATGCAGCAGAAGTTACAATTCATTAAGAAAAATGATTTTCAATGTGCCATTAAAGTCTTAAAAACTGTCCACCTTTTATCCTCCGAAGTCTCCTCTTGGGTTACTGTGGGAATTGGTGAATCTGCCAAGTTGATTAGGTCTAATGCTGTTGGGACATCCCCAGTGTTCTGTTCCACATGTTCTGCTGGCACGGTCACATTGTTGGTATGCAAACTGTCTCCTGATGCACTAGACTTCAAGAAGAAACTAACAGCAACAATGATAGATAATAGACTGTGCTTTAGCTACCAAGCATAACATTGAAGGAAGCAAAATTACAAAACTGTGATGAATAAAATAAATGACAGTTCATTTTGGAAACAGTTTTTCCTTGAAGCACTGATAGTTTTATATTGTTTTAGGAAGAAGTTTTAAAAAAATTACTGTTCAAGTCCTGGATGAGAGCTAACTTTCTACAGTTGAACGTCAACTAGACCGAGGCTCTCCTGATTGACTTCCATCAGTGCTTCCACACCTCAGGTACTGGCAGCATCACCATCCAAGGTGCAACAACAACAACATGTACCTATGTAGCGCCCTCCACGCAGGGTAGCATCTTAGAGTGCTCAACAGTGGAGGAGCCTGACTCGGAGCTGGGGGGGGGTGGGAGTGGCTGTAAGCACGGTGGACGAGGAAGGTTTTCAGGCTGGAAAAAGGGAAGAGAGAAGGCAAAGCAGAGGGATTGAGGGGCGTATTGGCTGAAAACGCAACTTCCGATGGTGTGCAGGATGCAAGGGATGAGCAGGAGGCAGGTGCCAGTAGAGCGGAGATGCCGGGTGATGAGGAGGTTGAAGAGATAGGGAGGTGCCAGAGAATGAAGGCATTTGAACACGAGTGTAAGGATCTTGAAGTCGATTCGTTCGGAGCCAGGGGAGCCTGGCCAGAACTGGTGAGATATAGGTACGGAGTTCGCTCCAGGTGGTGGATTGGGAAGTGAGGAGATCGAGAGGTAGGGAGGTGCCAGAGAGTGAAGGGATTGGAGGTGGATGCACACTCCACCTCACTGAGCCAGTCTGGAACCTTGGTGTCTTGTTTGACCCTCAACTATCCTTTCTACCCCACATCCGTGCCATGACCCGCTCGGCCTTCCCCCATCTCTGCAACATCACCCGGCTCCGCCACTGTCTCACACTGCAGGCCGCCGAGACCCTCATACACACATCCAATAACATCCAGGCTTGACTACGCAAACTCCCTGCTTGTCGGCCTCCCCAACTCCTCCCTCCATAGGCTGCAGATCATCCAGAAGTCTGCAGCCCATGTCCTCTCCCCCACCTAGTTCCATGACCCTATCAATCCCATCCTCGCCCAACTCCACTGGCTTCCCATCAGAGAGGATATAGTTCAAGTTCCTGTCCTCACCTTCAAAGCCCTCCATGGTCTTGCTTCGATCACCCTACATCCCACCCAATCCTAACCTCCAGCTCGGGTCCGAAACACTGATTGTCCAGCGCCTTGGGAAGCCTCCCGATGTGAAAGGAGCTATACAAATGTGATTTTATTGTTGTTGGTAAGCCTCATACTAATTGCCGCAGGAACATACAAGACTGATTGAAATCTATTAGAATTTAATAAATGCTAATCAATTTATCCTCCCCCTCAATGCACTTGACTGGAGCATGACTCCATCTTCCCTCACTGCAAAGTCACAAGTCTCATCATTGAAGCCCTCCCCCACCCCATCACCACCAAAGCTGGTGTAAGAGCGAATCAACCCACTCTTGTACATCTACCCATTGTTTCAAGAACAGCATTATTAGCAAACTGCCCATATATCTTCAGTTAGGGAAGATTGCAAAACACCCCAAAGATTGGGGGAGAACTTAAAAACAGAGCTGGAAAATAAAAATAATTCAGTACCTTTCAGACCCTCGCAGGTCCTTAAACTCAATGTTTAGAACAGGTAGGAAGGTGTTTTTACAAAATGGACAAGTGGTGTTCAGATTTGAATCATCTGCGGTCCACCCAGCCATAATCTCCTCATCATAAACCAAAGCTTCACAGACCCGACATTGAGAACAGCTGGACATCAAAACCTTTAGAAATAATTGTACAACATTAAGTATTCAAAATGATTAAATACTGCATTTGCATGCATTATCTTTTCTGTGCAATTTTAGATCTGAGATTTTTTCATACATATTTTAGCACAAGGAACTGACAGACAAACGGGATGTTAAAATCCCCAAATCGCGAGCCCATCTGTAACATTTTATTTTTAATACAATTTTTGTAGAAGACAAATAAAATGCAGAAAGCTCTTCCTGGTCCATACTCTTACGCCATGTAGCTGCTCTTTGCCTTACACACGAATAGACTCCGGCTTCTCATATAAGATTCACACATATAGTATACCCTCAACTCCAATGTACAGAATTTTATCTCTGACCAGCTCAAATGAAAATTCGTACTGCAATCCTCCACACTTAAATAAAAACCTGTAAGAGATACACAAGCCACATTTTTTTCTTTGAACTCATCATCTTAAAATTAATCTTACCTCCATTGCACAATTCTGAAAGATACTTGATGTACTAGCACGGTGAGATGATCCATGTTCTGATTTTTCAGGTTCATTTCCTACTCTAGATGAATGGGAAACACCTAGAAAATCCACAGCATAAACTGTTTTATAAACGCTGACTATACACTATTTGGTGCTTTGAATAACAATTCAAATTTCAATTTGTTACTGGAATAAATATGGAACTCTTTCAAATCTACAAATTGGAACTTTAAAGAATGAAGCAATTACGGTCTTGTACATTAAGTTCCCTCGGATATTGATTTTATAGATAGATAAATAGACTGATAAACCTCATTCGAGCTCTGTTTAATGGTGAAATCAGTTCTTGGGATCCAAGATGAGGTCCCAGGGAAGACACAAAGGATCCTCAAGCAAAACTGATTGATATTGAGCTAAATGGACTGACTGTCAGGCCAAAGTGGCCACTTTAAGTAATTTGCTCATATTAAAAAAAACATGAGATTCTGCAACTCGGACTTGGCTAAAATTAGAAATTTTCTGTTGCACACCTCCTAAAGAATCACCTTACAGTTGCATTGGTTGAATAGAAACATAGGAACACGGACAAGACTCACATGTTAATGGTTATTTGCATGTGGTACTGGAGGGCACTCAGCACCCGTGAAACTGCTCTCCTATCAGCACTGCAACCCAACCTTCTAATGGGTAGGGTGGTCCTCGCTGCCCAAGCAACAGGAAATGTGCCGGAAAGTTCTTTCAGTGAATAGGTGTGTGATCTTAGCTGGTTAAACACCACCAGTAACCCAAAGTGCACTTTAGCACGAGTAGATTTGAAAGTAACTTTAAAGAATGAAGCGATTAAGAGGTTGGGCCCTGGCTCAATGCCGAATGCTCTCTGGAATTAGGTAGTCAGGGCATCACTCCAGGGAGAGAATGCACATTCCATTCCAGATGCACAGAATTTCTGTGTGTAGGTGGCATACGTGGGTATAATGGATTTCAGTAATTGGTTTTTAGATGTGTCGTACACAATGCTGATCAGAATTGCTTCACCTCCCCCCACCCCACCATCCAGTTTTTAGATTCACACATGAAGATCGTTCATTTGGACAAAGTACCCACAAAAATACTGTCACACCACTTTACAATAATCGTGCAAAGTGCTTTCAGACATCCTGCTACGTAAAAGGCGCTAGATCGATTGTAAGGATGATTATTATTTACTCCAATAGAAGGTGCGATACAAATCAATACATTTACAGCACAGAAAGATACTCTTTGGTTCATTGTGGAATGTGTCAGCTTCCGCACTGAAGCCATGTGCGTAATACAATCGCACATTCCTATGCAACAGCTGAAGAACACGCATTTCATTTGGTTAATGATGAGACTGTTTAAAATGAAAATGTAAAATACTATAAATGTTATTCACCAGCCAGCTGCTGTTTGCCAGTATCACTGCTGTTGCTGCTGCCAAGGCTCGTGTTGCTTTGAGTAAGGCCATTTGCCGCCATTGTCCCAGGAACACCCATCCTTTTAGTTGGGCTGCGACTAAGCCCATAGTCTTCAATTCCTGGAGGAAAATTGAAGCTAGGTTGATCACGTTGATGTTCTTCCTTAATGTGGAGAAGAAACAAACATTGAAGATTACCAAAGTATGGCACACCCATTACTAAAGGAGACAATTAAAAATGATAACAGCCAAATTCTGCCACTATAATTCTTGAAAGATCCTTCGGTTTCCCTGCTGTCAGGAAAAGGGTTACATTTTATTGGTAATGCTCATTTAATTTTCCAAAACATGAAACAAAAAGGATTTTTTTAAATGCTTTTTAACCACCTGATGGTATTCCTATACCAATTTACTATGCTACAGACTGCATCAGTCTGTATACATCTACAATCTCACAAACCCAATTCTTGACCTAGTTACAGTTAGTACAAAATGCTGGGCTACATTGCTAAATTGGTTGTATTTACATCCTTTGTTTATACAGTGCTCTGGTAGACTGCACCTGGCATACTGAATACAGTTATGTGGTATTTTGAAATTCAGTGAAGGCTGGCAGTCTAATTAGTGGTGGGTGGGGCACTGCACCGTAGGATCGGTTTCAAGACTTCCCTTCTTTAAGACAAGATATCTTTCAGACGAGACGTTGAACTAAGGTTCCATCTGCCTGTTCAGGAGGATGCTAAAAATCTTGTGACACTATTTGAGAAGAGAGGGGAGTGCTTAAAGTAAAAGTTTCTTACCTCATCGTCAGAGTAGGAATATGCTGATGCTACGGCTCCCCACACCTTATTGGCGACATTAACCGCTTGTTTCATACCAGACTTAAGTACATCCATCTTGGGTCCTGAGAGCAGATTGTCAAACTTAAATGCTGATATTGTCGTAACCATAGATCCCAAGGAGCCATGTGGAGAGTTCCTCACCAAGGCAGTTAAGGAAGCTGAACGCATTTTCTGTGCAACAACAGGCTTTTGAATTTTAGGCTGGCCAGCGAAAGTTTTGGATCTGGATACAGATACGGGTGTTGTTTGTGCAGCTTCTGGTGGAAGTGAGCTAGAAGGGAGACTTGACCTTCGTTCCTGTGAATGGCAAAGTACAGCGTCTACTGTAGGCTTCTCTTCATGCTCAGTCTTGTGCAGCTCCATGCTGGCTGATTTGTCACCAAGAGGGCTCTTGAGGTTCATGTACATTTCAATCTCATCAGCGAGGTTTCGCGATACAACTGGTGGTACGATCTTCTCAACATCTGAAGGACATGGCTTCTCAGTCTCTGAGACCAGCAATGACAATGGGTCAAAACCAATCTCAACACCTTCTCTTTCTACAGCTTTTACAGAAGACAAGCTAGTCCTCTTTTGCTTGGGGTTTTCATCTTCACTTTCTTCCATTGTATGAATACCATCGACATCAGTAAACACCTCATTGTCATTCACTGTCCCAGCTCCAACCTGATGATAAAGGGGCTGCTCTGGGGTTTCCATTTCAGGTGACTCACTAACCTCTGAACTGTCGATGTGTTTATCATCAGTTTCATGAAACGGTACAAAGTGATCTCCCAAGTCCTCAAGGTTTGTAAAGGTCTTGTTTTTTGGAGATTGTATTTTGACACTTGACAGAGCAGCAGCCAGTATTCTGGCATCAGCGCCCATCATCTCAGCTATCTCACTTGGATCGTTTTCAAGACTTCCCTTCTTTAACAACATGTTCGTCCGGGTATCAGCACTGAAACTGCAGCTTCTCTCCGCCCAAACCTTTTGCCTCTGTTGGCTCTTGTCAGAGCTCTTCCTACGTTGTCGCACATTGGAGTCACTATCTTTGCCACACACAGCATCGTCATACTTGTCAGTAGAAGTAAGCAGTAAGCTATTTAAATTATCTGGAAGTTAAAAACAGTAAATGTTTAACAATGTTTCACTATTCAATAGTTTAATTTTCACATTTCAACTGTGTTTCAAATCCCACATCCGTACGCTAACCCACTCAAACTTCCCACACCTCTGAAACATTGGCCGCCTACGCCATTACCTCTCCCTAAACCCTCATCCACATCTTTAACATGCCCACACTCGTCTATGCCACTGGACTAGCCAGCTCTTCCCTACAAAACCTGCAAATTATTCAGAACTCTTCAGCAAGTGTCCTCTCTTGCATTAAGATCCAGTTCAAGATTCTGGTCCTCACCTACAATGCCCTCAATGACCTCACCCACCCTACCTTTGCAACCTTCCAACCCCCTACCTACCCGCCCTCTTCCTCCACACAGCCAACTCTGGCCTGCTCCACAACCCCAACCCACCCGCTCCACCATTGGCGGGAGAGCCTTCAGCCACTCTGCCCCCAACCTCTGGAACTCCATCCCCCAATCATTCCTCCTCGCCCCCTCCTTAGCCTCCTTCAAGTCCCGCCTCAAACCCTCCTCTTCGACCATGCCATCAGCCACCCTCCTTCCCCTCCCCTCTCCCCCTTGACCCCAGCTTGGGTCTGAAAGGCTGTACACTGTCCAACACCTTGGGACGTCCTCCCGACGTAAAAGGCGCTAAACAAATGTAATCTTGTTGTTGTTGTTAACCCCCATCCTCTCTCAGCTCCATTAGCTCTCCATCCTCCAATGGATCGACTTTAAGATTCTTACTCTCACCTTTAAATCCCTCCATGATCTCTCCCCACCCACCCTAACTTTGCAACCTCCTTCACCCCAGTCGACCCTTTGTTCAGTGAGAATCGGCCTGCTTCATGCCCTTCTCTATCCACCCCATCAATGTCAGGTGGGTTTCACCTATTGTGGCCCTGCTTTCTGGAATGCCAGAGAGAAAACTTGCCTAAAACTCAACTAACGTTTCGCCTCCCGGGAATCGAACCCGGGTCCTTTGACTTGCAAGCGTGCTAACCGCTGTGCCTTTGGATCTTTCAGGAATAATCCTCTGGGTTCTCGAATATCCACCTAAACAGGCAGATAATAATAATAATAATAATCCTTGCATTTGTTATAGCGCTTTTCACGTCGGGAGGACGTCCCAAAGCGCTTCACAGAATATACTGTAAAGTGAATTGACTGTATATTTGTGGGCGAACGCGGCAGCCAATTGCGCACAGCAATGTCCCACAAACAGTCGTAGATTGAAAATGACCAATTTATTATTGTTTTTGGTTTTGGAGGATTATTATTAGGCGTGTGGAGCAAGGAAACTCGGTTTAATGTCTCATCCAACGTATGATGCCTCTGAAAATGCAGCTCTCCCTCAACACTGCACTGGAGTGTCAGAATAGATCTTGAGGTCAAAGTTCCTGATAAATGACTTTCACCTACAACCTCCCAAGGCACGAGTGCCTTCAACTGAGCCAACAATTAAGATTACTGAATGGATGAACATATTACATATTTCGTATTTCTTGTCAGCTTGTTTCATTTGCAAGTAGCATTTCAGTTGTTACGCATGCAGAATTTTCCACTTAAATAAATTAAAATAGATAGTTCTACAAGTATAGAAGGTGAACATAAAGTTGAAACAACAATTCTTAGTATTTCCATTTCGTTTTTTTTTAAATTTGGTTTATGTGAAAAATTCATCATCGGCTTTGAGGATCAATTGAGGAAAGTTTAGACAAAGAGCCAGTGCTCATAGATGAACGAACAGCACTAGAGCGCTCATCCCTTTGTTGTTTCTAATGGTACAAAATCAGGCTTGATGACTGGTGATGCATTTGGAAAAAATTGGATTAAAATGGCAAGAATGGGAAATGATAATAAGAGAAAGCCAAAATAATGCAAATAAATATTTTTTAAAAAGCAACTTACCATTACTTTCTCTGCTGCCAACAGAAGTGCAGGAGAGTTTAACAATGCTGCTGCTTGTATGGAGTCTTTCCGAAGCATTTGATTTAATTTCGGAGCTCACCATTAGTTCTTCCCTGATACTGCCAACATTTTGCTCTGTTGATCAAATGCAATATAAATTGAGACAAAAGTAAGACCGTTTTTCTAAACTCAATGGAACAAGAAAACCACAATGGGAAATTTGTAGAAACTTCACAGTATTAATCACAAAAATACCAAAGCATTCCAAACACTCAAATACCTGCTGCAAAACATTTTGCTAAAAAAAATGAAATTCTCATAATAATTGAGCATTTTTATAATCAAAATGAAAAATAAATAAAAAATGTTTGTGTTTTAGAAGCAATCTATACATTCAAAATGATGCAAAATACATTTTACAGTGAGCGGAAATATCAAAATATTCAAAAGAACAAAGCAAATTTGTTTGCCAAGCAATATAAACAGAATCACTGTAGCACAATAGAAGTTCTCAATACTTGTAAAAGAGCAATAACTTATCTAAGAAGTATTTCACACAACAGGAAGAATGACCTCAAAGTCAATAAGTAAAGGAATGTTAAAGTTATCCTGAATATGATCAAATACTGACATAAATTTACGATAGTCTTTGTGAATTGTGGACAAGTTATTTATAAGTCATTCATATCCTGCTGCCTTGGTCTCCTAGGTCATATGCTCAGGGGTGCATGTTAGGGTTATGACCTGGCTGATTTTTCCTAGCCGGCTTTTTTACTCCTTTACTGGCTTTTTAGTGTCTGGATTTGTGCGGACCTGGGACAGAGAAACAAGGCGGACGTACAGGCACAGGGCAACAGCATGAGACACAAGTCTAGGAGAGAACCTGGCAATGCACATGCATGGGTTTTGTGGCGGGGAGGTCTTCAGATGAAAGGCAAGTCAATGTTTGAAATTTCTTTCCCCCATATCCCCCTATTTAGTAATACCTATACAACAACATCTTGCACTTATATAGCATCCTCCATGCAGGATAGCATCTCAGAGTACTTAACAGTGGCAGACCCTGACTCCGAGCCGGGGGGAGGTGACCGGGGAAGAGAGTGGGCAAGGCAGAGAGATTGTGGGAGAGTGTTCCAGGGTTTCAGGGTGTAGTGGCTGAATGCGTGACTTCCAATGGTGGGGCGGAGGGCGTGAGGGACAAGCAGGAGGCTGGTGCCAGTCGAGTGGAAACGCCGGGTGGTGGATTGGGGAGTGAGGAGGTTGGAGAGGTAGGGAGGTGCCAAGGAGTGAATGGATTTGAACACGAGTGTGGGGATCTTGAAGTTGATCTGTTTGGTGATGGGGAGTCAGTGGAGCCTGGTCAGATCTGGTGAGATGTGGATATGGAGTTTGTTCCGGGTTAATATGTGGGAGGCAGAGTTCTGAAAGAGTTGGATGTTTTGAATAGTGGAGCTGGGGAGAACAGCGAGGAGTGCGTTTGAGTAATCCAGGCGGGAGGTAGCAAACGCATGCACAAGAGGTGGGCAATATGGCGGAGGAAGCCGGTGTTGATCAGGGATCGGATGTAGTGAAGGAAGAACAGCTGGTGGTCGAACCGGACGCCTAGATTGCGCACTGGTTCGGTGAGTCTTTTCTTGAAGGATTATCATCAGATGTGTGGAGTAAGGAAACTTGCCCAAGGTTTCGACCTCCTGGGAATCAAACCCAGGGCTCTCGCTTGTAAGGCGAGTGCTCTAAACACTTAGCTACAGCACGCCACACAGTACAGTCAAACCTGTTCAACCAACTCCATTCTACAACCACCGTCTGTTAACAACCACCTGGAACAGACCCTTCAGAGTGGTTCACAAAACTTCCCTCAGAGGCCAACCTTATATAAAGGTCATTTTAGCCCAGTCCCCTGAGACGTTGTTCAAGACAGGCTTGACTGTATTTGTGTTAGCACCTGTTTTAAGTATATTACTGTATAAGTATTTATGTTAGCACCTCTCCATGCGGAGAACCAGTGGAAAAGAGTCAGAGCTGAAGTTTAAGTGTATTTGTATACAATATTTACAATATTATATTAAATATTAGCTGGGTTTATGGTCAATGTATGTTGTAAAAAATGTAGGCCTAGTACCAGATGTATGAAACACACTAAGTTTCTTCGGTAGCAGAGTAGTGGTACTGTGCTATTTATGTTACTTTCTGTCTTAAGCAATGTTAGATTAGCTGAGAAAATAAAATTGTATTATTCTATGCAAAAATACTGTTTCTTAAAATGAGGGGCATGGGCTCAGCAAAAAAAAGTTTGGGAACCTCTGTCCTACTTCATATGTATCACCTAGGGAAGGCAGAAGAGGGCGAGATGCCTTTAAAAAGTTATTTTCTCCTCTTCGAGATCAACACATCATCCCACTCTATTCTGGGTTACCAAATTCAGTTCTACAAATGGACCACAAGGTGGCGCAGGAAACAACCCCTCTGCCCCATGAGAGGAGGCACGAGCAAGAACACGTGGTGAATTACGACAAAAAAATCTTGTTTACAGGACTCCTGCCAGGAGCCTCCTTCCAAACTTTCAATAGATTAAGTCATGTCAAATGTGCCACAATTTTCACCTTCTCGTTTTTCTTTGGTGGTATGAGATGAATCAATTTCTACCAGGGTTTCGTTTCACCATGAAGATCAATGTCGTCACGTCTGAGTTCATCCTTAGAACCGTATCCTTGGTCAGACTGAGCACCTGCAGGAAAAACAAGTCCATTGTTCCAACTAAAATATTGTTTCTCTATCTTTAACTCTAAACAGAAGACAACCATGCTGTGTAGTAAATTATATTGTAAGTTCTAAAGGTTACTTGAACCGACAATGATGGAGAGGCCATTAACCAGTATGCACACAATATATGATAACTGCTGTATGTATATGCATTGAGTGTAGTGGAACTCAGGAACTTTTTATAACTGTCCTATAGTAAATTACATTATAGCAGCATTGATATATTCTTTGATTATTGTGCGTGAATCTCTACAGGAGTAAGAATATTTATTTATGCATTCCTTTGAATTTCAGTTAACATGAGCTAAGAGTGGTCTGATCATTCAGTACAAGTAGACAGTAACAATACATTAATACACAATAGACAGTAACAATACATTAATACACAATAGACAGTAATACATTAAACATATCCATGTGGATACCGGAAATTTTTTACTGGTTTATAGATGTAATATTTTAAAAAATCATATGCTACCAACCTTCTCTGCTCAACACATAAAAACATATTTTTCAGATATACATTTATGATTTTACAGCTAATATTTGAATTTGTTTTGTCATTTAAGAATATGCAATGATGGAACTAAACCCACTATAAAAAATAGATAGTGTATGGCGAACTATTCTTGTTAACCTAAATAAGATTAATATCTGTATACCATCAAAGGAAGAAGAAAGCAGAGAGGGTAATCATCCTCCACCTTTAAAACAAAAAGTGAAAGTGTTCTCGCAAGACAGGAGATACTACTGAAATCTGGAATTTTGGGCCTTTAATTATACTTGTGCCTTAAGCCAACCCCTCATGCCTGAAATGCATAAGGCAAGTGATCCCAGGTACAATGAAGCATTTTATTAATGACTATTAATCCAAATGGTGACACTCCTATCAGGAAATAATACCTTAAAAAATATTTTAAAATACACTTTCTCCTTTAAGAGCAAATAAGGACACAACATTAGCCACAAACAGTCTACAAATAGGATACTATTACGAAAAATCAGTTATTCTAAGCTAAATTTCAGAATGGAAAACAATATAGCACTGAGATGTCTGATAGCGACACTTAGATCCTAAAGGTAAGGTTAAAAGATGGAAAAGATCCCATATAGAGACAAAAATAGAAGCAGGAGCATGACAGACAAAAGGAAAAAAACAAAAAAAATTACGTACACAAAGAGGAAAACAGTCACAAAGAGAGCGAGAGAGACTATTACCTGAAGCTGTTCCATTTAACAGCAGGAATGAACCCACATGCCAAGCCAAAGTTCCACTTCAAACAAGGCCTTGTGTCCACCACATGACGACAAATGCTTCATGCAGCAAAATTCAGTGACAGCAAATAGCAAAAGCAGGAAAAATTAAAGTCCAGACAAGAGGAGCTTCTGTATCCAAGGCAACTAGTCTCTGCTACAGTATAAGCCAAAGTACAAGAAAGCAGAAGAAAGCTTTAGAAAGCTTGGTTACTTGATGACATTTGGAAAGACAGTTACTACTGAAAGCAAGCCAGATCTAATGAAGGCTGCAGGAGGATCATCGGTGCTAAAGCAACAAAAGCCAGTACCTGTACTACAGTGATTATCAATGATTAGGTCTCTGACGAACAGTACATGCTCTCCACTGTTAGCATCATTAGAACTATCCACGCTACCATGGCTCACAGCATCCACATCACTTCCACCTGTACAGTACATCAAATGAGACATGGGGATGTAAATAAAATGGAAGAACTTGCAGAAAGAAAAAACTGAAGGGAAGACAGACACCAAAGTTAGAACCTGGCAAACAGAACAATTTTGAACAAAACAACATTGGTCAGCCAGGAGCATAGAAGCCACATGCCTGAAGCATAGAAACCTCAATGCTCTGCATAAAAAAAATTTGTGTTCCAGCCACCAAGAAACTCAATCAGTTTCCATTTCCCAGTTTAAAATGACACAGCCCATTTGCCTAGGACTACAGAACAGGTTAGCAGAGCCAAAGCAAGTCACCCAAAATGAAGGTTAGGTTATTGCAGGAAAAAAGCCAGCCACATTACCCAGTCTATAAATGAGAACCACTAGTAAATGTCTGGCTGTTTGTACAGCAAGGACAACCCTACCCATTGGCACAGGGTTATCAGTTAGTAACTATCATAGTCTAACTACAAATTAGATAATCTCAAAATACTTTTTAGACCCATCTTCAATGTCTTGCTCCCCTCCCCAGGTCTACGATCCACAGGCCCCAGATCATCCAGAACTCCACCATCTGCTCCATCCTTGCCGAGGGTGCGCCACTCACTTTGATTGCACTTTCAGTCACCTTCCCCAGCCCCGATATCCCACCCAGCGCAGGCTTCCTCTTGGCCTCTGTAAAGCACTTTGTGATGATTACCTTTAAGTCTGTGTAAGTACAAAGTCTTGTTGTGACAAAGTAACTAAGGATCAAACCTGAATGTCCCTGGTCTAGAAAGCCAAGATACTCAATGGATATACCTGGAAAATGAACTTCCAACATTCTTTAATGTACCAAATGTAGCCTTTTAAAACAATTTTGTGTCCAAAAGTCAACGTCAATCACTTTTCCTCATTTAAAAGGGTACCTGAGATCAATGGCACTTGGGGACCGAGAGACCTTGATTTTTTCAGTGTCAGACGCAACTGTGCCACCCCACGAACGACATTCCGCACTTTTGTCCACAAAAAGCAACCACTACGATTACTGCTGGGCCAGGTACTCTCCAAAACCGCCTGGAATGAGAGATGCAAGTTCTCTTTGTCAGTTAAGGAATTTATAGCTTTATCATTTCCATGTATTTTTAATAACATTCCTTGTTTCCCTCCGTACATGTTGGACTAGATCACCAACTCCACACATCTCCCATCAGCCAACAATTGCATTATTTAGGTAACAAACATTGCAACAACAATGATATTCGCAAAGCAATTCAGAGATATGAACTGGTTTCTGCCAGTTTCTTGTGTCTAGAATGAACCAAGGATTTTCAAAATATGCAAGCAGAAGTGATCCTCAGCCTTGATATACCCGGTTGTGCCAAACACACCAAAGTCTTGCAACATGAAATACTGACACTTCGGTACCTCAAAAACTTCAATGTGTGAATGCACATGATTCCCAGTGTTGTTCAAATAATGGGGATTGACTGAAAGATTCAGTGGTTTCATCACTCTGATCATGTGGTATATTAACCATATAACTCAGGATAGACCATATGCAATTTACTTTCTTTCCCTCCCCTAAAAAAAAGCCTTAGCTTCTACACATCACTTCTTCAGTTGATAGCATTCAATGAAAGCCAACTCAGCAAGAAGACGAGTCGATTCTAAGCAAGAAGTAACCCTTGATCTCAAAGCACAAATTCCTGTTTGGGAGGCAAACACTTCAAAATCAATACTAAATCTAAGTGGTCAGGACAAAGACAACCATTTTAATCTGTTAGCTATTGTTTTGAGGCTTTGTGAGTCTCTTAAATAAACATATTTGTTTCATCTCACATTACAATACATAATTTGGCTTCTGACTTACTTTGTTGTAGTAACCATAAGTAATGGCATTCGGTTGCACACCCGCAATTCTCATTTCAAACAGCACCCGAACAGCAAGAACTGGGTGTCCCAAGAGTCCACACAACTGCATGACAACTCTGTAACATACCTGTGTGCGATACATTTTTTAAAAGATGTTCTACTTATGCAAACCAACAACTGTATGAAAATAGTGCAGGAAGATATACCATTTGTAAACAGAAACAAAGTACATCTCACTTCAATATTACATTGTCTTTTCATAATTGTATAAACATTTTGGTTGAAAAGCTAAAGAAATTTTAAATAATGTTAGCATTTTACAAAGGTAGCATCCAACATCCATACGATTACTAAATAAATCTAATAAAGCAAAGGATTATTTGGGTTAAGTGATACTTACCTCATCCAATGGATTCACCTTTATATTTCTCATTTTGATGAGAACATCATAAGCTTGCTGCAGTTCTCGGACCTTGGAATGGGAGACTCTGACATAGGTTGGCAAGCAAATGAACCAAAGACTGTAGCAATGGCTAAACAAGCATTTGGCCCAGAGTTCTGGTGTTGAGAAATATTTCTTTGCAATTTTCTGGGCAGTTTTTATCTCCTGTGAAATAATAATATAATATTTGAAGTTGACTTAAAACCTTGCAATAAATTATTTTGGAGTGCAGTGGCTACTGACTGTTATATAGGCAAACATAATATGCACTGTCACCAACTCATGAACAGCAAATAAAGACAAGAGCCAAAAAGATCATTGCAAGCCATTTTAATCCAAAGATTTTTTTAAAATTATAAAATGAATCCTAATCTTTCTTTGCAAACCTTAAATTTCATTATGTGCCTAATATCTGTTCAATTCCTTTTTGAATTTTATAATTTGGCTCGACATGCCTCTTGATTGTGCAAATTTGGTTATAACATGGTTTCACTTTCAGTGACAAGCTGTGTGGTTTTAGCTTGATAGACTCCTCAGTACCCCCAACACAAACTCTGGGAACCCCAAGCTTTGGCTCTTGCCAACCTATGCCTATTGTTTGGAATTAGTTAAGCAAGATGCAGCCATCATGGGAGAGATTGCACATTTTATTCAAGATACAGGGGAATTTCTATATCCAAGTAACATACATACGAGGAACTTCCAGTATAGTTTAATGCTCTTAAGCATGTTGATGGGGTTCAGCAGACGACAGACACCTGGCTGACCAAAAAGAAATCTAAAAGACAGGATCCTAAATGCAGTACTGCCTCATTACTGTATCAGAGTGTCAACATGATAATAAATTCAAGTCTTATGGAGACACAAACCTACGACCTTTTACACAGACAAGAGTGACAAACTGAGCTAAATTAACACAAACGGGGGTGGATTGCAACAAAACGGGAATAGAAGTGTTAATAATGCAAAACAAAGGGGGGGAACATTGCAACAAAATAAGCGGACTAGAGAGAGAAGAGGTGTGTCTGGGGCCCAGATAATGTGCTAATGGTCACATAAGAGGGGGAGGGGGAAGCTGAGCTGTTATGGTCTGAAACTGTTGAAATCAATATTGAAGCCAGAGGGCTGTAAAGTGCCTAGCAGATAAATGAGGTGCTGCTCCTCAACCTTGCGCTGTGGCTCATTTGAACAGCGTAGGAGACTGTGGATGGAGAAGTCAGAGTGCGAGTGGGAGGGAGAGTGGTAAGAAACCAGAAGCTCAAGGTTGTGCTTGCGATTGTGCTTCTGTTTTGTTTTAAATTTCCAGCATCTGTAGTATTCTGAATGTTTTTTTATATAACATTCCCTACCTGTTTGGTTCTCTTTGCCATGAGGGCTGGACTGCTGGGAATGCTTGTCCCAGCTGCAAGTCTGGTGGGTAATCTTAATTCCTGTGGTCTTTCAAAAAGCTCCTTCTTAAGCACTGGGAAGGATTTGTAGCTGAAATTAAATTTAAAACAAAACAGAAACAAAACATCAGCATATTTTCATTAGTTATTTATATCACAAACTACCACCCCATCTCCAACCTCCCTTTCCTTTCCAAAGTTCTTGAAAGAGTTTTTGCTTCCCAGCTTCACTCCTTCCTCTCCTGGCACTCCCTTTACAAAACCCTTCCAATCAGGTTTCCGGGCTGCCCACAACACGGAAATAGCCCTGAGTCAAGGTGATAAATGACATTCTGTACATCTGTGACCAGGGCTCCCTCTGTCTCCTCATTCTCCTTGACATCTCTGCTGCCTTCGACACTGTAGACCACTCTATCCTCCTCCACCACCTCTCCTCTCACCTCAACCTTCAAGGTTCTGTCTTTGAATGGTTCAGATCCTAGCTCTCACACCAGCTCCACATTGTCTCCACAAACAGCTTCTCCTCCAGCCCCCGCACCGTCTTGTGGGGCGTTCCTCGGGGTTCTGTCCTCGGTCCCCTCCTCTTCAACTTGTACATGTTCCTTCTTAGTGACATCATCCGCAGACATGGGGTCAACCTCCACATGTATGCAGATGACACCCAACTCTATCTTTCTGCCTCCACCCTTGACTCCAGGACCACTGCTGTCCTGATAGAATGTCTGTCAGACATCAAGTCCTGGATAAGAGCTAACTTTCTGCAACTGAACGTCAGCCCTACTGATTGGCTCGTGCCAGCACCTCCGCACCTCAGGCACCGACAGCATCAGCATCCACGGTTGCACAATCCACCTCATCACGCCAATCAGGAACCAAGGCGTCTTGTTCGACCCTCAACTGTCATTTCTGCCCCACATCCGTGCCAAGACCCGCTCTGCTTTCCCCCACCTCCGAAACATTGCCCGACTCCACCATCTCTCAGAGGATCGAGTTCAAAATTCTCGTCCTCACCTTCAAGGCCCTCCATGGCCTTGCCCCCTCCTACTTGTCCGACCTGCTAACCCCTTAACAACCTGTCCGTTTCTTCCACTCAGCAGTCTCTGGCCTGCTACACTTGTCCACCGCCCGGCCCACCCCACCATCAGCAGTCAGGCCTTCAGCCTCTATGCCCCCATCTTCTGGAACTCCATCCCACATTACCTTTGCCTTGCTCCCTCCCTTGCCTTGTTCAAGACCAGCCTCAATGTCCTTCTCTTCGACCGTGCCTTCAGCAAACCTCCTACCCTCTCTGTCCTCCACCCTCCTTGATCCCAACTCTTCCCCACCCTCCTACCCCCACACGGCTCCTAATCCGACTGTTCAACGCCTTGGGACGTCCTCCTGACGTGAAAGGCGCTTTATAAATGCAATTTTGTATTGTATATCTGTTCATTCTGGTTATTAGAACAAATGATCTGCACTTCACATATGAAACTTTTTGGAAAATGTTAAAGCTGCTCTTTACGCTCAATTAAGTTTACTTTAAATTGTATCCTCCTGACGTGAAAGGCACTATACAAAGGTAATTTTGTATTGTATCTATTTAAGTGTACTTTCCCCAATGAAAAATGAATTACAAAATATTGCTGGACAATTCATCATTTTGACAAAATCTTGTGTTGCCCCATTGATTTAAAAGGCTCATAAACTCATTGATGAATTCCCTGGACCAAGTTGAAAGGTCTATACAATGATTAGCCATCAACTTTAGAAGTGCACCAAAAAATCTTCAGGTAAATATTTTCAGAATTAATTTAAACAAAATAACCATGGTACGTCTTCAATCTTCAACTTCTGTTAATTATTTTTCATTTGCATTTAGTCTACTCAAACTCCACACAATGACTACAATACCCATATTTCCGTGCTGTCTCTAGTCCATCAGATGCTGGAGGTTCCAGTGGCATTACAAAGACAGTGTGCTCGCTTTTCTGGGACTCATCCAGCTCGATTAGCTTAGAGTCTTCAGCATAGTCAGCATCAACCTTCATGTGTACAAATGAACAAATTAAGTTTCTTCAACTTTTCATCTTATTCTATTCCTGCATATATAACACAAGCTTCTAAATGCTACTTCAAGATGTTACATTCTCAGTTCCCACCAAAAAGTTGTTTTATAATTAATGGAATTATTTTCTATACCATACTTTTCATACCTAGCTCAATTTGAAAAAGAATACTTCACATTCCAAAAAGGGCAAGATAGTCACTATTCTACATTTAATCTATACAGGTCACCCACATTACAACTCCATGGAACAAAAATGGACTCAGATAAGCTTTGTGTTCCTGTGACTCAATGTGACATAGATATTTGCTGGTGGCCCCATTAGGATTAAAAGCATCATTTGTTTCTCTTATTTTATCTTCTATTCAATCCTTTCAAAAGCTATTCTCAAAGTTCCAAAGGTCGTTTTTTCTTGAAAACCTTGCAAATCTGTATTTTTAGTTAACTTTAGCTTTTACTACAAACATCAGCTTCAATTTCCTGCAGGTTCTCAATGTCTCCACATGGCTAGCTTGAGCTAGTGCTATCCTTCTGACTAATTTCTACCTATCTTGCTTCTGCAGTCTTCCCTTCATGAAAGTTACAAAAATATTGTTCTTCATGTCACTTTAAAACAGTTAAGATCATGCAAACCAGAAGGATAGTAAGAGGTGAGCTACTGCATCGGTTTAGAACAAAACATTGTAAATACCAAACCAAACTTGAGCAGAAAGTAAAAATAAATCATTCTAACCTTTGATCCCTTTTCTTTGTCAGAGTGAAAAAGCTGAATTAAAAAATAAGTTCAATGTTATCTTAAATGACTAACAAATTCCTTAAATCTTTAGAACATTTTAAAGTGTGTAACCCATTTGCTCATGCAAACTCATTTTTTGAACTCAATTATACTCAGTACTACCCAAGGCTAACTGCAAACATAAAACATCCATGCACTCAGTGACCTACAAAATCTATATAAGCACCCTTTCCCCCACATAAGCAAGGTTATAAACAAATCCATTGAACCATATTTTTCCAATACAAGGAGATTACAACCCGAGTCTTACAGGAAATTAAGTTATTGAAGAAAATAATTCTTCATTAAACTGCAAATTAATCATAACTGAATACAGTGGAATCAATCTGATCAGCTACTGCTACACTTTATTCAGCAATAGAGCTACTTTAAACGTAATAATAATCCTTGCATTTGAGATGGTGCCTTATCATGTCGTTGAGACATATCAAAGTGCTTCATGGGATACACTGTAAAGTTTAATGACTGTATATTTTGTAGGCAAAATGTAAGCATTTGTATTAGAATTTTTTAATTGAGAAACCCAAGGAAGGGTTCAATTCATATCGCAGTACACCAACAAGTTCAAAAAGAGTAGCGGAAAACAGATAAATTAAGATGTTATTCCAATCTTGCATTTTAAAAGCCTGTAGATTCTAAGAGAAATGGAGGACGGAAGTAAGCTGAGTTAAGAAACATAAGAGCCTGAGAAATATGTCAGAGCAGGAGATTGTTTGATGAGCTTTTATTACAACATTGATGATGCAAACAGGAGAAAGAAGGAAAGTGATGTAATATAGTGCACAGGAAGTGATGTCAGCAGCAACCTGAAAGTTAACCTTTTTTGTTGCTTTGCTGATAACACAGCCACTCAGACACTGGACATAGCTGAGCCTCGCTATAATCGGGCTTCCCTATACTTGCTGCTAGTGATGTGTGGCTGAATAATATTTTTACCATCAAAGATTTTAAATAGCAAATGTAATAGTTAAAGTGAAAGCGTATATTTGAAACCCAAACAATTCTTACCTTATCTACACAGTCATCAAAAAAGGCTAGGCTGGTATCTTTGTCACTCACAAATGAACACTCCTCAATGAAACGAATGAACATCTGTGTTTTTGTCAGCTGAATGTAGAACTTTTGATGTGCCCGATCACGAGTTTTCAAGAAGCCTAACAGAAAGCCAAACAGTGCAAATAAAGTTTAATAAATGTAGTTTAAGCAATTAGCATAAGTAAAACACTCAAACTACACAACTGTGAGACTCGTGCTTCAAGGGCAACTGCTTTCATCTGAGTTGTTGTTTAGCAACAACCTTTGAACATGAAAATGTGAGATATTCTAACATTGATAATACTGAACATAGATCATTTCGTCAACATCGGGACAAAAAGAAAAAAGTGGCCATTTCAGGTGAATCATTTAAGTAGAACTGGAATAATCAAGTTGGAGAAGCTGCTTTAAAGGACAGGAAAGGAAAAAGCTAGGAGAGATGAGGAGCAAAAAAAAAGTATTATGTAGATAAATATTTGAAAGCACTATTCACAAACACAAATAAGGCAGCTAATTTAGTCACTAGTATGGAGAACAGGGCCAGAGAGGTGCTAATAGACTGTGCAAGACAACATGGAAATCGAGGGAAGGTCAGAAGTGCAAGCATCAGTAATGCTGCTTTCAACCGTCTGTTCATAACACGACCCAAAAAGAGTTTCTTCCAAAGTATACAACATCAACTTTATATATATGTTGATATAACGTTTCCCTCATGTAGGATAACATCACAGAGTATGGGCCAATAATCCTCCAGGCAAACTAATCATTCATGACAATTTGTGAGGTCTTGCTGTGCGCAAAATTTCTGCCACATTTTCCTAAAAATAGTCACTATTGACAAGAATTACCTGTCAATTACACTTTGAGATGTTTTGCTATCACAAGTGTTTATTCAATGTAAAGATTTTTACTCGACATTACAGCACCAGAGCAATACTCAGAAGAAAGTGTTACCACTTGGAAGTGATTCTTTAGTGAGAGCTTTTACATGAGAAATTCTTGGGTTTCAGATGTCCTTGGGATCAGGGCCTGGATGAATGCAAACTTCCTGCAGCTGAATGTTGACAAGAAGGAAGCCGTACTCCTTGGCTCCTATCAACCGCTTCACTCTTGCAGATCTGAACTCCTCAACCTCCCTGGGCTCTCCCTGACTCACCAAATTAGTGTGCATTCTAGGCGTCCGGTTCGACCCCCAGCTATCCTTCCTTCCCACATCAGATCCCTGACCAGGACCACCTTCTTCTACCTCGCCACATTGCACTCCTCCGACCGTATTTTACGCCAAATGCAGTCAAAACCTTCATCCATGCGTTTTGTCACCTCCCGCCCGGATTACTCAAACACACTCCTCGCCGGTCTCCCCAGCTCCACTGTTCAAAAGATCCAGCTCATTCAGAACTCTGCCACCCACATACTGACTCAGACCAAACTCTGTACCCACATATCACCAGTTCTGGCCAGGCTCCACTGGAATGGAATGGATCGACTTCAAGATCCTCACAGTCATGTTCAAATCCATTCACTCTCTGGCACCTCCCTATCTCTCCGACCTCCTTACTCCCCAATCCATCACTTGGCGCTTCCGAACGACTGGCACCGGCCTCCTGCTTGTCCCTTGCACCCTCTGCCCCACCATCGGAGGTTGCGCTTTCAGCCACTAAGCCCCGAAAATCTGGAATATTTTCGCTCAATCCCTCCATCTCTCCCCTTTTTCAAGTCCCGCCTGAAAATCTTCCTCTTCGACCGTGCTTATGGCCACCTCCACCCCACCTTTTGGCTCGGAGTCAGGCTCTGCAACTGTTAAACGCTCTGAGATGCTACCCTGTGTGGAGGGCGCAATATAATTGCTTGTTTTCCACTTGTGCAGGAACTTTACAACATTTTTCTTTCAATCAGCTAATAAGGTACAAAAAACAGAGAGAGCTGGGAAAACTCATCAGGTCAGGCAGCATCTATGGAGAAAGGAAAGTGAGTCAGCGTTTCGGGTCCACGACCCTTCGTCAGAACTGGCGAAGTTCCAAAATAAGGTTATTGGAGACCAGGGATGTGCCTGAATATTGGGCGAGTTTGCTTATTCCCACATCGCTGAATGGAAATAGCCTTAGGGGAAAAAAAATACTTAAATGTTCCATACATGTGAAATGTAGGATCCCATCATGACATTTCTGCAATAAGTGCCCATGTTCTGCATTTTGCACATATGTGGAATACAACATGTCAAATATGTGATGACATCTTACAGTCCAAATACGCAGAGACTGAAAATACACTGCAGTTGTCTCAGCCATGGCTGCCTAGTAAGAAGCACAAGGCAGCAGAATAACATGGAGGCTCTTGTAAAGGCCAATTTAATAGATGCACAAAACATGATATTACCAACATTCAACTCATGATCAGAAATTAATAAATCTCCTTTAGATACTGATGTATAACAGCCTTTTGTACCTTGTAGATCAAACAGTGAACCTGCTGAAGTGGCTTTTTCTGAAGGAGCCTGTGTAATTGGTTTGAGGTATGTTCTGTATCCTTTTAATATAGATGCCATAAAACGCAAAAAGGCTTCCTGAATTTCCATCTCAACTGCAGTCATCTTTTTTTGCCAGGTAAAATCAGCCTCTATGGGTGTCATTTCCACAGCAGATCCCTCCTGTGCTCTTCTGTGAACTATAAACAAAACAAAGGTCAGTCAGGCCCACTGGTTGCAGTAGTTTTAAATGGGGTATTAAATCCTCATCTCCCTTGCCCTCAAAAAATAAAATAATCTTTGATTTGGATCTTTTTAAGTAGCCTTCCTATTCCTCTCCAAGAATCAAGCATTCTCCCAAGCCAGTTTTTTCCTGCTGTCCATCTCCCTCCAGAACACAAAGCAAATGTATTTTGTAATCCTGTAATGGGGAACAGGAAGATCAGTATTTGAAGCAATTACCATCGCAAATTTTTAAAAAAGCAAATGATTATTTGCCTAGCCAGATAAGAGATCACTGGGGAAATCACCATTTGAAAAAACATGAACTTTATTCTAAATGAAGTGTGGCAAGACAGCTCTGAGTCTCAGAGTGGGCATAGATTTGCATTAAAAGAATAATGGTGAGCATTGTTGCCCAGCATTTTAATATTCTTAATTTCTTTATGCTTTTACTCTGTGTACCTTAACCTCTCATAGGAAAAAAATGCTGGAAACTCACTAGGTAAGAAAATCAAGAGTTATCACTTTTTAAATGTCAAGCCTTACATTACGGATTCATCAGGACAAATGAACTTTCAGGAGCTGGTGATATATACTCCAGTGCCCGAAGTGCATTTTCATGAATGCTTTCAATGTGGAAGCCTGAGGATTGCATTTCTTTCCTTGCACGAGGGCCTTTCCCTTATTCACTGCCTTAGGTCATTTATATGTGCAATCAGATAAGTACAACCTATTTGCATCAACCCTTAAAGGTCATTACAGCCTAAATACTACTTTAAAATGGGGGCATATCAATCAGCCATTGGATCAGAAGAATGCATGGTTATTTCATAAACTCATAGGAAGTTACAGCATAAAGCAGCCAAGGCCTAATCTCAGTGCTAGTTTTCGCTGGAGTCATCATCACTTTTATAGCTTCTCCATCTCCAGTTCATTATGTCTATTCTTCAAGTGTTTGCAGGTGACTGGCCTTAAATAATCACTTGTGGTAACTCACAGGGTACTTCAAAAAAGTGAAATTGCTCAGTTCACTTGGAACCCTGATGGTGCTCCATTATTTGCAGCTTATTTGGAACAATTGTAGTGAGCCTATTACTTCTGTTAATGGCCTGTGGAGAACTTCTTAAATGGGGGTCATGCTGCAGGTTAGCAGAATACACAGATGAAGTCTAAGCAGAGTGCAACTCTGCTGGAAATTTAATTATACTTTTTTTTGGTTGCCAGTCTTTTGCACGTGGGGAAGGTTAATGACTGCTACCAGCAATACCAATTAAACAATACATTCCTTAAAGCAGCAATTATAAAATGGCAAGCCAAGCATTCAAAAGATACTCAAATATCTTTTATTTGCCAAATTTACTGATTTTCTAAGACTGTGTGACAAAGGAGATCGATAAGGGTAATGTAGTGGATGTTATATATTTGGATTTCAGTAAGGCCTTTGATACAGTTCTACATGAAAGGCTGGTACTGAAAATAAAGAAAATGGGAATCAGGGGAAGTATCTTGCAGTGGATACATAATTCGCTGAATGACGGAACCCAGAAGGTGGTACTACAGGGAATGTCATCAGGTTGGGAGAATGTTACCAGTGAAGTTCCACAGCAGTCTGTTTTGGGACCTCTTTTATTTAACATCTTCATAAACAACCTGAAGCTAGGAGTCACAAGCACAGTGGCTACATTTGCAGATGACATAAAGCTAATGAAGGCAGTAGACTGCAAAGATGAACAGGATATGTTACAGGAGGACTTGAACATTCTTGAGAAATGGGCAGATCAATGGCAGATTAAATTCAATGTAGAGAAATGCAAAGTGCTTCACATAGGGACAAAAAATCCAGGAAGGGACTATCATTTAAATGGCAAGAAAAATAATCTGTATGGAAAATGAAGAGTCCTGATTGATAATAAATTGAAGCTATTGCAACAGTGCTCGATAGCAGTGAGTAAGACAAACCAGATGCTGGGTTGTATTAAAAAGGGCAATATTGAGCCGAAATAGTGGGGTAATTAACCACTTTATAAATCACTGGTGCGACCGCACTTGGAATACTCTGTGCAGTTCTAGTCACCTCAATATAAAAGGGATACTGCAGCAATTGAGAGGATAAAGAGGACAACCAAATTATGGCGGGAATGGAGGAACTGGACTATGAGGAGTGATTAGATAAACTGGGCATGTTTACGTTGGAGAAGAGAAGGTTGGGGGGCAATATGAATTTGGTCTTTAAGGTACAATACAATATTACACTTATATAGCGCCTTTCACGTCGGGTGGACGTCCCAAGACACTGAAGAGACTAGATAATGTAGACCATGATAAGCTGTTTTATCTTTTACTGAACAGTGGAACCAGAGGACACAGGCTGCGATTGAAGGGGGTTAAATTCAGAACAAATCTGTGGAAACACTACTTCAGTGAGCAATTAGTAGTTATGGAACAGGCTCCCTAGGGAGACGGTGGAAGCAGAAATTCTTATGTTCTAAATAAGGATGTAAAATAAACCATGCAGAAAATCTTCATTACAAAAACAAGCGTGTTGAGTGTAAAAGGAGTCATGAGCGGTGATCAACTTAAAAACATTTGTTAGATTTCAAGTCGCATCTTGGTAGTTCAAAAAAACAAACGAGGGAACAGAAGAAACAAAGAATAACTAAACTCCAAATGATGCTATATTGATTGCTTAATATATTTTTTCACCTAGAATTTTTATCCCTTTAGTTCTTTACCCTAACTAGCAAAATTTGAGTTCAGAATCTGGGCTGACACTCCAATACCTGTTTCACCCACAACATATGTTACATATATATATATCACATATATATATATATACTTTACAGTATATTCTGTGAAGCACTTTGAGAATTATTATTATTGTGCAGTAAAGAGGAAGCTCTGTATAGTCAGAGGTTCATTCAACATGTTCAGATTCAGTTGCAAGTTAAACACCATGTGGCATGATTTCAAAGAACAGGAGGGAGGTTGTTCTCTGGTGTAATAGTCAACATTAATCCCTCATCCAAATCATCAAAACTATATTTACTTTGAATATTCATCTCATTATTATTTGCAGGTTGCAATGGTACAGATTGCCTGCCATATTTGCCTACAAAAGTCAATATATTTCAAAAATAATATGTGATATGCTTTGAGAGTTAATGGGAGATTGATTTTTTTAAAAAGAAATATACACACACCTAATGAAAGCTGAGTTTGTAAGTTTGTTAAGGAACCAAAGAGATTCTTCCCAGGTTTCTTCGGAAGCTGCTTCCAGTTTAAATTCTTCCGGTCATCAGATCTATAAAAAAAAGAACCTTTTTAACACATTTATATAATACAATTTACATTCATACAGCACCTTTCACGTTGAGCAGACATCTTAAAGCCCTTCATAATGCTGGATGGGCAGCCTAGCTGGGGCTCGGAGAGGAAGGATGACCGAAAGCACGGTCAAAGAGGTACATTTTGAATTGTGCTTTGAATGAGAGAAGAGAAAAACTAAAGGACTCTGGAATGGATTTTAAAGAAGACCATTCAGTTCATCAAGCTCATTCTGTCATAAAATCATAAAAATATAGAGCACAAAGGATCCATCGGGCCCATCAATTCTGCACCATCTATCAGAGCACGATGTTCTTTCAACTGCACTACAACAACAACAAAAGTATACTTATAGAGTGCCTTTTACGTTGGGAGGACGTCCCAAAGCGCTGAACAGTCAGGTGTCGGGGCCCGAGCATGGGGGAGGGGTGGTGTAAGGGTGAGGGAAGGCAGAGAGGTGGGAGGGAGACCAAAGGCGCGGTTGAAGAGAAGGGTCTTGAGACCGGCCTTGAAGGAGGCAAGGGAGGAAGCGAGGCGAAGGGACCGCGGGATGGAGTTCCAGAGCGTGGGGCCAGAGAGGCTGAAAGCCCGGCCACCGATGGTAGGGCAGGTCGGGCGGGAGACATGGAGCAGCCCGAGCCTGATGAGCAGAGGGAGCGGGCAGATTGGTAGGGAGTCAGCAGGTCAGAAAGGTAGGAGGAGGCAAAGCCATGGATGGTCTTAAAGGTGAGGACGAGGATCTTGAACTCGATCCTCTGGCGGATGGGGAGCCAGTGGAGTCGGGCGAGGGTGGGAGTGATGGGGTCACGGAGCCTGGTGCGTGAGAGTACACGAGCTGCAGAGTTTTGGATGATCTGCAGCCCGTGAAGGGAAGAGTTCAGAAGGCTGATGAGGAGTGAGTTCCCTTAATCAAGCCTTGAGGTGACGAATGAATATCCTGTCCTATCCCCATAACCCTTCAAGCCTCTACCTTTCATTTACCCGTTTACGTCCCTCTTGAAACCAACAATGGACTCTGTCTCTCACAAATTACTTGCCATATTGTTCCACATTCCAAAAAAATTCTCTGAAGCTCAACTTTCACTCTTATAATTATAACTATGGCGCCCTAATCACCAACTCCCCTATCCTATTCACCCTGTCAAAACTCCTCAATTTGTACATTATCAACCTCTTCTGCTCCAATGAAAATAGATCAACTTCTCCAATTTCTCCTCATAGTTATAGCCCATCACCCCGGTATCATTCTTGTAAATCTCCTCTGCACTTATTCCAAGGCACAAATATCCTTCCTGACGTAAGGTACCCAGAATGATTGTAGTACTCCAGTTGTAGCCTAACCAAAAAAAAACTTTATTGCTTCATTTTTGTACTCTTTCCTTCACGTATAAAACACAGAATATCATTAGCTTTCCACAGCCCTTTTCACTTGTGTTGTTGCCACTTTCAAAGAAGTACACCTGCATTCCCAAGTCTCTTTGCTCCTATGTTCCTTGCGAGATACTTACATTCAACATATATTCCCCTCATTCTTTCTGCCAAAATGCATCACTTCATTAAACTTCATCTGACACTGATTGCTCCAATCTAATGAAGTCTTCCTGCCTCCACCATAATAATAATAATAATCCTTGCATTTGATATAGCGCTTTTCACGTCAGGAGGATGTCCCAAAGCGCTTCACAGAACACACTGTAAAGTGAATTGACTGTACATTTGTGGGCGAACGCGGCAGCCAATTGCACTCAGCAATGTCCCACAAACAGTCGTAGATTGAAAATGACCAATTTTTTATTATTGTTTTTGGTTTCGAAGGGATTATTATTAGGCGTGTGGAGTAAGGAAACTTGCCCAAGGTTTCGCACCATCTTATTTAAGAAGGCAGTGTCTGCCTTTTATCCACACTATTCACTGTACTTCCTAGTTTGGCATCATTCACAAATGTTGATAACGTATCCCATATCTATGCTCCATCATGACCTTTACCCAACACTTTGAATCTACTGAGGAAATGTCCAACAAAGTTTCTTCCAGCCATTTCTGCCTTGTTTCTCCACTGCACTTCTATCACTCTTCGGATGAATAAAATTTTTGTCACCATAAAAGCTAGTGTCCACAACTACATGCATCTTGTTAATCTGAAAGGGTATTGAAGAAATCACGATAATAGTAGTAAATACTTACAAATAAATTGTATTTGTATCCAGGTCCACACAAACAACATCCTGTGGTGGGTCATAAAGATCAAAATATCGTGAATCAACACCTACAATAAACGGACATGGTGCACTGAGGACTCCAGCTAGTGAAAGTGGACAGAGTGGGATATACGGACACTGCCAGTGGAATGGAAAGATCATCTGAATCAAGAAACCAAAAAACAAAAGTTAATCAACTTTTTAGAGAATAGTAAGCAATCTGCAGAAATATTAATTAAAAATACGTAGTATAAATATTTTCGAGTAAATACACCTGTACTCACAGTTACAACAGCCTCAGTCACACCAGTCAGCACAGCAGGCCTGAGAGAGTGCAGCAGAATCTTGTTTTCCATCAAGACAAAATAGAGGAGAATCGCACAGTTTTCAGATCCCAAGTTCATTAGCAAGGTGCTAAAGTTAGCTCCACTAAATAGGAATAAGGGTATATTAGGTTGGGAATACACTATGATCTACAAGGTTATATAATAAGATCAAAAAATCACTTGAAACCCACTGTCAGAAGGTTTTCTGGTACAATCAGACTCACAGATTTGTCTGTGAGAAATGAATTCACATTGTTCTCCAAGAGGGTTTGGAAATTTTCTTTGATTAAAAGTAATATAAATAGTTTTCCAATTACTCATTGCACAGCAACTCTCATATCCTGACAATATACACTAAACAATTCACATTAGCTGACTCAGAAAACCTATCCAATCAATCAACAATGTTTACATTTGATATAGTGGCCTTAAGTCAGGAGGAAATCTCAAAAATTATATCATATCACAGGATATACTGTAAAGTAGAGTGACTGTTTATTTTATGGGCGATTTGCTTTCAAATGTCAATTCCTATTGCATTTTGTTATTGGTTCAAATCATTTATTCTAAAGTTCATCAGAATTGCTCATTACTAAGGCATGTCTCAAAATGTATTGAGCCACATCTTGAAACATACCTCCCTGAACATGCTCTTAGTCTTCTTTCCCCTCCCCACCACCACTTTTAGCCCCCACCCTTAGCACAAAATAACCGTGAATTGGTTAAGAAAAGCCACCAACCATTAAAATATTCAAATTCAGCTTACCTGAGTGGTAAGGGTGTTGAAACTGGTTGAGATAGGATAAGCTGATCAAGTGCTGATAGCTATAAGAAAGGCAACAGATCAATATTAAATTTAAGTCAGATAACATTCTTATTAAAAACAAAATGAGACAACTCTCAGCAGCTAATTTTGTACTAGTAGCAATGTGCATACACATTACCTGAACCAAGATTCTTGGCCTCTGAGGTGATGGGAAGGGAACATTATGCATGAAGTGGGATATGTGCCTAAAAATATAAGAATAATCTCAAAAGTGACAAAATGGCAAAACAAAAGTGATTATAAAATAATATGCATTTAACAAAGTGCAGATGAAACAATACAGATCTCAACGTAAATATCTGCAGGCAGCAACCATTATTATGCTAATTTGCAACCAAATTGTAATACTGTACAAACAATTCTGCTGGACTTGAACTATAATTCAATTTAAGACCAAATCAGGCAGAACAGAAATTTTGAAAAAATGGTTTATTGTTAGACTTTATCAAAGGCAATTTTACAATTAACATATAGCACCTCTCTCATGAGGAGCTAGTGCCAATGTGCTTAAAGTAAATACATTGCAGTTTGTTTAGAATATTTATTCTTTTTACTTTACCAACTGCTGCCATCATACACAATAATAATACATTAGACTCTCAAATTCCCTTAATTTTGTTTTACCGTTGTATTTCTCTAGTGTCTTATCAGCCCACAAAATTTGACAATCAGAAATTGTTAACTACAGTATTTTAAATAGTAACAGCTATAAAACACATTTACTCAGTATAAGTGATGTTATGATGACTGCAATTAACCAAATCCTACTATAGACTTAAAAACCATGGCTAAAAGGCAGGTTTCAAATGATGTTCAGAATTGATGAAACTGCATTTTTCCACTTACACAGATGAACTTACTTCCCTAGAGCTCAATTAGATATTCTATATATTGATCTTAAAAAGATTTAGCATACTAAATTTTACATGGATATCCTGCAACAAAAATTACTGAAGTCACCTTGTTTCTTTTGAACATGAACAATTTATTTTAATTATCATGAGTTTATAATCAAAATTCAACTATGACATCAGGATAATTCCATTACACACAGGAGCAGCAATTTAAGGTTGATAAAGCTTCATATTCTGGGATATATCAACAGTCAATATAAAACTGCTATTAGTATTTAGAATAAAATAGTGTCCTTATTTTTATGATTCAACTACATAAATGTATCAATTCAACTACATTAATTGAGCATTTCTGCATTTTTAAAATAATGAATATCCATCGACAATGTGATGTGTCACTTGCCAATATAACAGCAGTTGCACCCAAATTATTGACTGCAAATAAAAAAAACATATGTGCGGTTAAATCAGAAGATCATTCCCTGAACTCTTGGGGTTTGAAGTTTGGAGTAATAATGGAGTCTTGTCACACACTGTTGAGATTTCAAAATGCTTACTATGGGTAAAAATTACCATACTTGTGCTCTCCTTATCACAGTGACAAAATCTCTAACCTCTGAAGACAAATCCAAATCACAAACATATTGAGCAGTCACGCTTAGTTAAGCTTCTGACAAAAAAAATTCAAATGTTAAACTTCGAATTTTTTTCTTTAAAAGTCACAATCAAACATCACTAATACAAAATTTCTAAGATTATCAAGATGCAAACCTCAAACACTTTTACTGGAGGTTAGAAAGACCAATTAAAAAGGCAACACCAACTTATAAACTAGCAGTAAAAGGCAGTGAACCCTGAAAAGTAAATATTAGAAATTTCAGTGATTCAGGGTAAGACAGAGAATAGATATTTTGGTCTTGTGAGGTAGCTATTCATGCAGACAATTACATTCATAAGTAATGTGATTCAAACTGATTTTGTTCAGAGCTAATGATGACTATTGTATTGATTTTGGTCAAAACCAACTATTGTAGTAATAATGAGTAGTTTACAAAATCCACTTCTTGTCCATCGTGCATCAGTAATTGTGATTCTCATGCCCTGGCCTTCTGATAGGAGATTAACTTGGGTTAATAGACTCAGGTACTCCCGACATGAAAGGTGTTATATAAATGCAATTTGTTGTTGGGTTTTTAGGCATTGAATTTCGAGAATGATTCAGCAATTCAATCCTAGGCTTAAGAGACTTAAAAAAAAAGTAACAGTGGACCACATAGCTTCTGAGTAATAACCTTTTTTCACACAAGCCTGCAACCCCACCTTCCAAGCTAACTAAACAAGCAAAGAAGATGAAGTGTTCCACAATACCAATTTGAGGCAAAAGGGAGGGAACCCTTTGCAATTCTAAAAAAAATGCAGTTATCAGATAATTCCTAATGCCTGGGCACTTTGCCTATCTAGAAACAGTGCCGCCTCAGTTTAACACCAGTGTATTTGCATGAGGCAGCTCCAACATCAACAGAGAGTGCAGTATTTGGCAGTAACCACTTCCCTCAACTACATTAGCAGTCAAAGAGAGAAATGGGAACAGGCATTGTGAGCCTGGTCATGATGGTCAGGACGCAGTCAATCAGGAAGGAGAATAATCCTTACATTTGATACAGCGTCTTTCATATTGGGAGGTTGTCTCAAAGCACTTCACAGGACTCACTGTAAAATGGAGCGACTGGGCATCGTGTGGGCTCTGTCAGGAAGGAAATTGCTAAACTAGTCTGTTCCATCGGATACTTGATGGATAATGAATATGTCGTCAGAGGGTAAGGAGCGACTGGCCTTTCCTTTCTCACTTCGTACAGTGGACTGATGGTGGTTTATGCCATTGCTGGGCAGCATGAAGGCAGCTTCTGACATTTGGCAGTGGAAGGAATAAGCAATCTCAATCGCTGAATCTATTAAATTTATACAGTCCAGATTAGTCGACTTGGAAATTTGTTTAATTACTTCCCATTTCAACCAAAACATATTCTTTACCATTTGTAATTATCATGCTAAGCATTCTTAATTACATTTCTGTGAGGAAGCTTATCCCTCATGTAGTAATAATAATTGTTGCATTTGATATAGTACTTTATCATGTCTTCGATATGTCTCAAAAGCGCTTCACAGAATATACTGTAAAGTGAATTGACTGTATATTTTGTGGGCGAAACATTGTACTCTGCAGTTCAAGACCTTGAGATGCAGGAGGATCTTGATTGGTTTTGCAGGCATGCAGATATAGGTAGTTGCAGTGTAGTTCAAGGTCTGAAAGGTATAAATCACATTAAATACATACTTTTCAATAGGCAGATGATGAGGTCCAGAGACAGACAACTTGTACAGGAACATCAGAAATTTGCGGAAGGCCTCATAAAAAGGCCAGCGTGAGAGGAGGCAAATGCATTTATTGGTGTGTACAGTCTTGGATGTGATTAATTTCTTGTCCACAGCAGTGATAAGGCCAAGCTGCATGAGCTGTTTCTCAGTCAGCAACTCCATCGGGTAAGACTCATAAAACTGGATAGCGGCACCATACACCTGTTTTTTGAATAAATAAATTTTTGTAAAAAGTTAATTTTCTCAAAATAAAGACAAACGTACAATATTTTAGGCAATTTAAGCTGAATGAACCAGTTTGAATGTGGTGGTTCAGATCCATAAACTCAGACCCCACTTTATTATAATAATATCTTTGCATTTGATAGAGCCTTTCAAATCAGGAGAATGTCTCAAAGTGCTTCACAGGTTCCACTGTAGAATTTTGTGGGCAAAGATGGCAGCCAACTTGCATAGCAATGACCCACAAATAGCCATGAAGGGAATGACCAACTTTATCTGGAAGATTGTTCCCCAGGATAATGGAAGAAACTCTTCTTTTCAAATAGCGTCATGAAATCTTTAACATCCATCTGAACAGGCAGATGGAACTTTGGTTTAAAGTCTTGTCTGAAGGACGGCATCACCAACAGTGCAGTACTGTGTTGGAATGCCAGCCTGACAGAGTTTAAAGTCCTGACTGCGAGGCTGAATAGTGTTGTGATCAAAAATGAATTATTGCTTAAATTGTTTTGGTGAAGTTAAATATACTTATGCTTGTTAGCAAGTGTCGAGCTGACCTGTAGAACTACAATCCTAATTAAATTATGCCGAGTTGCAGAATTTCTATCCACACCTGACATATACGGGGTAGCTGGTATAACTCCAGATAAAAGTGTTAGGAGAAAATGTCAGTAAGCTGTGACTTGAAGAGTTAAATTGGCTAAGAGAAAAAGTGAGCTTGTTAGTGTAGCTTGTTATGTTAATTGTTGATGCACTGGTCCTGTATTGTCTTAATCTGAGTCAGCCCAAACCTGGCTTAATTAAACAATTGGCAGGTGCATGAGGACTTGCAGACCAGGACAGAGCATCCTGGTGTTAAAAAAAGGGCAGCTGAGCTACTCTGAGTTCAGCCTGAGGGTTCAGTCTGAGTCATCCGATGAGTTAGTGAGAGACTGACCATTTTTTCCACTCCTCCAGGAAGGCAGAATTACCAACCAAGGTTCTGTGGTTTGAGTCACTCGACTGCCTGAAATTTCAGCAATTCCAATAACATCAGAAGAAAGAAAATAGTAGACTTCAACAATACAAGAACACAGCTGCAAGAGATTCAAATGTCTATGTACACTATTATCAGTTCCCAAAGAAGTAAGAGTTCATCTATTGCCTATGAACTTTGATATCATCACAACAGTGACATGCTAGACGTGAGCATAATAGCATCAAACTGCTTATCGTAACCCTGCCGTGTTTATTGAATGAATGCAAAATTGTGTGTCTTTTTGCTTTATTAAGTAAATAAATTATTGAGCATAGATTATAAGCGACTTCAGTTTCTCTGTTCTCAACTTTATATTTTGGCTAAACAGAGTAAGCTGGTCTTTTCTGGCCGCACCTTTGGTCCCAGGCTTCAACAGAGTGGTTAGTTCAACTGGCCGCACCTTAATAATAATCCTTGCATTTGATATAGCGCTTTTCACGTCGGGAGGACGTCCCAAAGCGCTTCACAGAACACACTGTATAGTGAATTGACTATATTTGTGGGCGAACGAGGCAGCCAATTGCGCACAGCAGTGTCCCACAAACAATCGTAGATTGAAAATGACCAATTTATTATTGTTTTTGGTTTTGGAGGGATTATTATTAGGCTCCGTGTGGAGTAAGGAAATTTGCCCAAGGTTTCGCGCTGCCTGGAATTGAACTCAGGTCTCTCGCTTGAAAAGCGAGTGCTCTAACCACTGAGCCACAGGACTCCACTTCAAACCCAACAAGGGACAACCTTCTTACTCAGAGACAAGAATGCTACCAACTGAACCAGACCGATACACTTCATGTCAAAATGTGCAAAAAGTGGCATATGGTGGGTCAATAGCCCGGCTGAAGAGCCTCACACAGGGAATGATGAGAAGCATCAACATGTACCAATACCTTTATAATGCATTTTTTTAAAAACTAATGGCCCTTAGTTAACTGGAACAAACACTTTAATATCAGCAGAAATAAACTATTTATAACAGCTTCCCTGCATTTACCTTTTCTGCTGATGAAGCAGTCAAAACAAAGGTCGAAAAAACTGGCAATGGGTATTTGGTTTTGGGAGCCCAGCATTCAATAGTAGCTCCCATGGGAAGACAGAAGAGCGGTACTGATTCAGGCAATGGGAATGATTCATAGTCTTCTTCCGGATATCTGCAGATCAACCCTAAAGCAATAAAAAGGTGGAACATGAAAAGAAAGTTTATTAAAATGCAACATCCTTCCCCATTGAAAATAGAATCTACATTTAGATTTTTACCAACCAATGCATCTTAGATAAATATATTCCAACAGGTTTTCCAACCAACAAAATAAAGAAAACTTCAATAATCGTTTCCAAGTGTGCACAACACTAAATTGCAATTATACAGAAACTCATCTCGTACACAATCTGTTGTCCAGATACGCTTGTTTTCAAATATTTGAAATGGTCTGATAATCATTAAAAATCTTCTGTTCTTAATTCACTATTAGTAGAAATAAAACTCATCATAACTGTGCTTAATTGGAACCCAAGAAATGAATAAAATCTTGCTCTCCTAACACACTGATCAGATTCACAAAATGGAAGATCACAGATATGCAAAATTCAGTCACAAGGTATGTTTCAAGTTAGTAGATTGATTTATTTGGGGGCACTTGATTGGCCAAATTAAATTATCCATTATGTGGAATCTGCTCCATTGTGGTGTTTAATCCAGGTTCACATTTTTATGAACTGACCCCAGTTACTAAGCCTTAAAATGTTTATGTACATAAATATTTTCTCAGAATTATTCTGACATGGTCAATTTGTTATTAGCAACATCCATGAAATGAACGCAGGTTTAAAGGCATGGGAAAACCATTCCAGATATCCCTCCCTGAAGAAAGTGTCTTTCAACCTTCACAGTGATCAACTGGCTACTACCACTGCTTACCACTAACTACTATTACAGTGAACTCCTGATTACTTGACTCTGGCTTAACTTGTCACAACCACTTAAATCTTCATTCGGTCAATATTCCAGTCGCATTTATGTATTTATACCGATACCTAATTTGCCACTCCAGATAACTGGTCATAGGCCCTTTTCACCTGGAGTGGGGAGTTATCAGGAGTTTACTATACAATAACAACTAAATAACAACTTGCACTTATATAGCACCCTTCACACGAGGTAGAGTCTCGGAACGCTTCACCATTGAACTAGCATATTGAGCGTGTTTAACAATTCATGTGCCTGAAATTGTAGTGTTTAATAAACGTTCACCTCAAATGCCAAAATCAACTGAATGTCAAATTATTGCAGGTCACAAAGTAGCACTAGTGTTATTTTGCGCCAATTTAATTAGCATATTCCATTCCAGTTCCACATGAATTTTAAATCTATTAGTAGAAGTGAGTGTTTCAGTAAATATTAGCTGCAAGTCTTTAATTAAGCCTTTTGCTGCAAATTTAAAAAAATGAACACAGTACAGTAGATGTATGTGTTATTCTGAATTCATCAAAATAAATCAGTTTAAATAACTCATCCAATGGAATACCCATCTGATTGCAAGTAGAAGGCTTCCTCCTAATGGCCAATCAAGAATGTGGCATCAGTGACATTCATCTAATGGTCCTCTTACTGAGATGACTAAAGAGCTAACTTTCAGATCAGAGAAGACTAAAAGACTAATCTTCAGCTCAGTTCACAGGGTGCTCATCTGGCAATCCAGCCAGATAATGCCAGTAGCATTATTAGAAATCTACAAAACTATTTTATAGAAATTAGAAATCAACATCACTGAAAGAATAAACTTTGAAGTGACCCAAGAGAATTTTACAAAATGATGAAAGAGACTGAAAGTTGGCCCAGAGAAACTTCATACTGAAGAACGAAACAAAACTTCAAAATCAAGAAACTATGGGTAAACAGGTAGAAATGAATTCCTCACACCGAAGAAAGAGACGTATGGAACAAGAGCTGGAACCTAAGAAACGGTTTTAAGAAACAAGTGCGTAGATTGTTTCTAGAGAAAGATAGAGGTGGAGAGATTTCTGGTAACTAAGTAGGAATGTGGGTAGTGATTAACCAAAAAGGAGTATTTCCAGTGAAAAATAGGGAGGAAGTTGTCTTGAGGTCAGCTAAAAAGTAGGAGGCAGGTTTATTGGCTCATTTTGATTTGCTTTGCTCTAAATATTCTGTAACCAGTGTGTTAGTTATTAAATAAGCCTCATAGAACGTGGGCAACAAATTATTCTGTATAAAGTAGTTTTGTTACTTTTACAACATAACAATTCAAGTCACTATCCACGCAGTGTTCTTATTAAAGGCTATCTGGAAAGTTTATTTGGAATTTTTCTTGGATTTAAACCTATGCAATAACATATTTAATTTAGCTATTTAGACTCCTCACGAGAACAACTTTCCTGTACAACAGTGAGGGTTACTGCTGAAATGAGTATTGAACATAGGAACAAGCAATCAATTTCCCTCCACCCTTTGATACTATTAATTTACTAATATTACTAAAGACAGATTGGAGCCTACATTATGGCTGCTGTTAGCAATCGTCTCACTCAAAAATTCATCCTTAGCTTAGGATTAATTCCATCTGTTGAAAAGTTAATTACTAAATAAGATACTGTGATATATGCACAAGTTTAACTCAGGCAATACTAAAGTCAGGAGGAGGCAAGGTGAACTTTAAAGAGATTACAAAGTTAGCATTTTGGCTAGTTCCTCCAACTTTAGATGATGCCTGTATTTTCATTCTCAAGTTCTTACATTCTACATTGTCAGCTGAACAAAAAAAAGTGCAATAGTAGATGCAAGAGAGATAGATTGGGAGGTTAATTTTAAAACAATATTTGACTCATCTTTAATGGGGGAGGGGGGGGGCAAATGAAAGTTGTGCACACGTTCTAAAAGCTTTTTAAAAGTGATTAGTTAGGTTACATACCAGCTTTATATGCTATTGAATTAGAAGCAGGAACAGACTTCTTGTAACAAAGATACACACTGGAACCCCACTGTAAACAGAAACAAACAGTTACAAACTACATAAAACCTCTTTCTCTCCCAATTGAACCTAAAAGTAAAAACATTCAGTATTGACACACACAAAAAAAAGGAAAAATATTGTGAATTGTAGTCTGCAACTGCTGCTCAGTTGGCTGTTTCGACACATGCAGAAACCCAGCACCATGCTTAAGAGTATCCACATAAGTAAGACACCCACACGTGGATATTTTCCTGTGCCTGGAACAAAGTGCACATTCTCGGTGGGGGGGAGTGGGGAGGGAGAGGGAGTGCACTCTGCAACCTAACTCTGACCAGTATTAAATATACTTCGGTAAGAGCCACGGTTTGGGGTTCCCAGAGTGTGCATAGGTTTCTGATAGACTTTAACCAACTAAAACCACATACCTTGCCATTGAGAACACTTTCTCGTGTGCTTTCCATTGCTTGTTAAATTAGGATTATTATATGCATCAAGGCTTTGGTTTGCAGGAATGGAACAGAATACATTTTACTTCAATGAGAGCTACATGCTGATGAACCTGCTAATTACACTGATTGAGCATTTCTTGTTACGAAAAAAAAAGGTTCCTAAAGGCTGCAGGCAACTAATAATTCTTCAGCACTTTCTTTAAATGCTTGAGTAAATCCTGTGAAGTACTTGGGATGTCCTCCCGACATAAAAGGCTCTGTACCAAATGCAAGGATTATTAATTTATTATCAAATCTACACATGCAAGAATAGTCCAATTAAGAAACAACTCTTTCTTCCTCAAGAAATTAGTACGATAGTAAGTATCCCTTTATTTTATGATGTCATTAAACTATAATCAATCACCTGAAAGAAAGTTTAATAATTGAGAAACAAACGCACTATGGATCCAATTTTCAAAAGTAACTAAAGAGTTCGACAACAGGTCGTTCCTGCCAAGTTTCCTTTCATTGTTTCCCCTGTGCTCAGTGCCATAATATGAAAGTGGGCTTGAAACTTATAATAAACTCTCTCCACTAGGATAATTGGTGGAACAGGTATCTAAAAGTTTTGTGAGTAAGAAAACAAAGCAAGCTTCCGTAGAGCTCCTTGTTCTGCTTATTAAACATCATAGTTCAAAGGTCTTACACTAGCTCTATGTAAATAAACGAGGCCTTGCATCATCACAGTATTTCCAAGCAACTGTGCACAGGTCTCAGAATCGGTTGACAGTTCTGCTAAATAGAGGAAAATCTCATCACAGCATGGTCACCGGGGTCCAATTTCTTAGCAGCTGCATTATCAGCAAGATGGCCAACTTTCAGCTGATTGATTTTTGCTAACAATAACACCGTTTCCTACATGCAGGAAGCATTGACGGCCATCGACATAATTTCTTTCACAAAGTGACATCAGCAGCACTTCCTGCACATAGTATTACAAGTGATGTCAGTGTTGATTTGATTTTTTTTAGGAATAGGGTTCCCCTATAGTAAACTCATTTTGTAAAAAAGCAGCTATCTATACAAGTCTATCACAGAAAATAATTCATATGCAAGACTGAATTTATTTTCACATTCCCCAAAATGCTGCATTAAATCCCTGCTTGCTTTTTCTAGCAATGCACTAGTGTAAAATATTTGATGTTTAGCACCTATATCTCAAATTTAATTAATTGAATTGTGGTTCAAACCTTCCAGTCTCTAGAAAGCCTTCAACTTATTAGGACAGTTAAAATTGCATGATATTGATTTTTTAAAATTTAAATCTTTCCAATAGCTCAGAAACCAAGTTCATTACCTAGTATAGAACAGTCATAGAGACTAAATTCAATCTCCAGATCTGTGCTGAGTAAGTTCACTTTAACCGAGGGTGCTATATTAGCATTAGAGCTAACTTCAGTGCCCCTAGGTTGGAACTAGAAAGAATTATGCAAGCTCCTTGCTTCTGAGAAGCCTACACTGGAAAGTGTGCATCTGGGAACTTCAGATGAAGGTAGAAACAAAACAATATCTTTATTTAGGATGCGGGGAGATGAGAATAATAATTGATGTTATAAAACATTGCTTCACCTACTAACATGTTTAACTAAGAGTACAACCCTCCCCCACTTTTAAAATCAACATGCAAGGTTGCACATTTACATTACAGTACATAAAATGCTCTGATATGAGTCTTTAGTGTGCATGTAACTATAATACCCCCTTTACCAAAAACTCAAAATTCTATCAAAAAGTAGAGGCATAAAGCAAAATATTTTGCTCTGGGGCACAGTGTGGACACACTTTGACTAGACAGTTGATGTAAACCTCTTAAAGGGACACTACTCAATTTATTCCCTCTTTCTCTTTCCTCCCCTCCTCTCATGGTGTACAAATCACCAGGTTGTGGAGAATGTCTCCGAATGTCTGCACACAATTCAAGTTCACCCATAGCTACATCATAGATCTTCAGATGCAGCTAATCAGTAAAAGACACAAAAGACAGTGCTGTGGAACAAGTTCTGTATCAATTTCATTACTGTTCCAGACACCAAAATGTAGAAAACCACAAATTTTATCCTTACCATGCCACAGTTAATATTCTTATCTACTTTGCAGAATGTATGGGGTGGTGTCTCTCCTTTACTGGTAACAATAATGCAGATATCAGTCACAGCCAAAGAATTCTGAGGTCTGTTCGATGCAGCCCTTCGATGAGTAATAAAGATTTTCTGAGAGGTGGCTGAACTGTTGTTAACATTGGCGCAACGGCCAAAAGGAGTAGTGTCCAGGATTTCGCAGCCTTGAATTATTCGCTCCTTCCCCTCATACAATATCCTAAAATGGAAAAAAGAGATGCTTAAGTGTTGTAAAATAATATTAGTGACTTACTTTGACTGTGAATCCAGACCCCATTTCCAGAATTCCAAGAGCAACTGGGGTTAAAAAAAATCATCTTCAAATACATTCAAGAATCAAGTTCATCTCAAGACTTTCACTGAGAGAATTTAAAGTTCCTTATTTGAGCACCTCAACTTGCAGCAAATCTGTAGCTTTTGTGTTTGTGCAGAAACATCCCTTCACATGTTTGGTACCTCTGATCTTTTCCGGCCTCACTTTCTCACTTTCCTTCTCTCCCACTCCACTCAGCAAACTCAAGATCTGTTCCTTGATCCCTCTGCCTGACATTTGGTGACCAAGCCTCAGTCACAATGCCCCATCCTTTAGAACTACTTTGTACATGCGTTCGCTCTGTATTCAGTCTTCAAAAGCCACCTGAAAACCTACATCTTCAACTGAGCCTACAGTCACCACATTCCTCTCCCACACACTGCGTACAGAGAGCATCATCTCTGTGAAGCACTTTAAGACATTACTCTGTGTGAAGTACATTGTATCAAATGCATGGATTATTATTTGTCGAATGGGAAATGACAGTGAGACAATGTATAAGACCGAGGGAAAAATCTCAAAGACTGATGAGAAAGAGAGAGTAAGAGAGAGAGAGAGAGAGACGCAAACACACAACAGAGAACAAACACACAGAGAGACTGGATAAGACGACGAAGTGAGGAAGAAAGGCAGACACATGGAAATAAGCAGAAAAGAGACTCACAGATAAAGAATGCTAATACTCGCTTACTAACAGGTCCTTCCTGCTTCATTCTTAATTAGATAAGCCCTCCTCCCGACTACCCATCCTGGGTCAGGTGAGTTCACTAGTTTCCCTCTCGACACCAACAGTCTGTCACGAATGGCGATAGACTTCAGCAACAAGTCTGCCAAGTAAATGAGGCAGCATTACTGTGTCACAGGCTTCAATACACAACCAAGGTGATTTTTCTGCTGGTGCTGATCTGAAATATATTGTCCTTGGAAGCAGTTCCTGTCACAATTTCTGGCGTCCAGCTTACGTGACGTCCAGCAATAGGATTTTTTTCCCCCACTTGATGTCGTTTTGCAGACTTTCACAAGTCATTGTGAAAAGTGCAGTATGGTGATCAGAAGTTACAAACTGACATTTAGTGGTTGTGAATGCAGCTGCACAAGATAAACAGGGCAGATTTCACATTACCCAGATCCTCTCGTAGCATTTCTTTTTGCAACATTCCAGAACAACCACTTGAAGCAGTTCTGCAACAAAACTCCACTTTATCAACAAAATTGGAAGTCCTTCAAAGAAACTACACTAATATCATGGAGTGAAAATGGAGCATTTTAAGGCCCTTATGAATTTATTCTTATGGCAAAACTTCATGCAAAACAAAGGAAAGAACAAACTGTAAATAATGCGACATAAGAGTAAACAATCTTTACATTTGGTATAGCACCTTTTGCATTAGAAGGACTTCTCAGAAGCATTTACTTTTTACAACCCATTAGTTACTAGATTTTAAATGTTTGTTTGTTCTTTCTGTTTTGCATGAACTCAATTGTGATTTTTTCACCCTAAAATGAGTCGGTACATTAGAATAAACAAATGGGAATATTTACTTAATCCTGCCAGCGTTATATTGAACCTTGCTCCTTACGTTTATGTAACTGACCAGACAAGTTGCTCACAAATGACAGAATACACATTGTAAAAGTTAAATGGACGGTGAGATCAATTGGTGAACTGCCAATATTTCATATTACATTTTCAATTTATTGTCTAAGGTAGGCTGCTTGATCAGCAGAACCTGTAAGGACAGATCAGTCACCGAGGACAGGGAGTCATCCCACTCAGTTCCCTTAACCCTGCAAACCAAAGCCCTAACGGATAGGGTGGTTCTAACTGGACAAGTAGTGGGAAAGCTTGCCGGACTGTGTTATCAATGGCTAGTTATGCGGTTTTATTTGTTAAGACTCTGAAAGGGAGTGCACATTCCATTCCAATAAATATTTGTGGAAATTGCATATATAGGTAGGATGCATGGAACTCTCAGTTTGATGTGGATACTCTTAAGCATGTGTCAGACCCCTGGCTGACCAAAAAAAGTCTGAAGTAATATTATACAAAAATGTGTTAGGTTGTTCATTGCTTTCTTTATCAAAATAAGTTAATAAATAGTAAATTCATCACATGGAAAAGAGTAACAATTTGCAAGGCACGAAATAGTAATTTTGTACTGCAGTAAAATTCACATAAATTGTATCAGTTGGGACTATAACATTTAATATTACTTGTGTGCGAAGTCCGAGTTACTGTACAACAACTTGCACTTATATAGCTCCCTTCACGCCGGGTAGCGTCCCAGAGTGCCTAATCATATTAATCATTTCCTAACTCGTAACGCCGTCCCCCTAACCTCCATTACTCCTGTGTTGTGGAAGTCGTATAAATTCTGATTTAATCAATCATCTGCATTGCACATTATTCAACGAAGCCGGTAAGTGCACATGTGATAATGGGTTAAGGCAACAGTTCCCGTGTTTCAACGCTCTTGACCAGTCTCTGCAGGCGCAGTTACCGGCAAGCTTTGGAATCTCATTGAATCGCAGAAAATGAATTCTTCTGCGCACACATCAACAATAACTTGGATTTATATAGCGCCCTCCACTCCGGACGGCGTCTCAGAGCGCTTCACAGTAACGGATCCCAGGGCCGAGCCAAGGGCAGGGGGAGGAAGGTGACCAAAGGCGCGATCGAGAAGAAATGTATCATGACTACGTTTCCCCCGGTTGAGTGCAGACGGATGGTAAGTGCACTTGCATTGATGAGTCAGGACGTCATTTCCCGCAATTCAAGGCAGCCAGGCAGTGCAGGAGTAATGGAGGGTGGGGCCGCGGCATTACGAATCAGGAGGTGATTAACATGAGTAGTGCAAAGAAATCTAAGTGGTTTTGATAGGAAACTAAATGGGACTTGGCTAAATGTACTACTTAGGGAACCAACTGCCTTTAGATGATTCACCCATTAAAAAACAGTCAATTCCTTTTTAACACCCAAGTTGTACATGAAAAGGTAGTCTTATTCACTGATGAATAACCGGTCTTTTTTTAAAAAAATCAGGAATTTGTATTAGCATACTGTTACGGAGTGGAGTGTATCTATTAATATTGGTTGCAACTTACTTGATAAAAAGGAAAGAATACCAGTTTTGTGTTGTTCTATATACGAGTAGTTTTTCTTGTAGCTAAACAGATTCTTAACAAATTCTAGCTTGTTTATACTGATGGTGATTATGCATACCTAAACAAAAATCTTTCTCGCATTTTCTTAATTCTATACATTTCAAGGCAGCGAGTAGTTTCAATGACATATTAATAGTACCTCAGCCTGAACTGGATTCCTAAAAAAACAAGCTGTAGACTTATGCTATGTAATGAATTTTCAATAGTCATGTTCTCGGTTTTCTAGTTTTGGTAAGCAAGGATGTAATGATACAACCACGAACACAGTCGCACTGAGTGTCCGGAGCTCAGGCTTGGTCTGATCCAGCAGGAAAAACAGTGGTACGAGGCAGGGTTACCAGCAGAACCTATTAGTCACTTTCAAACTAGTAATAGGAGAGAGAGAGAGACAGACACAAGAGAGATACAGAGACACACAGACAGATATATATACAGACAAACAGATACAGAGACACACACAAATGCAGAGACCTCATCACTGGTTGTATTATTGTTTTAAAATATGTATGAATTTTACATCGCTTATGTGGCTTATTGCTTACACATTTGTGAAATCCGGCATCCAGCCCTCCGCAGCCGAAAGGTGGACCACCCTGATGCAAGAAACACTGGATAGGAATTCAAATTCAATACGGAACAATGTATACCTGCTCTGACTACCTTGAATATTTTTTGCAAATGTTTTTCATCACTGGATTCTGATAACCAATAAAAACACAAAAGCTAGAATTTTGGCCACGAGCCTGAAATATTCAGCGTTTATGGTTGGTTCTATTGAAACAGAAATGTTCAATGCCGATAATTACAGGTGTGGTGGACTAGGTTTGCATTTGGTAAAAGAAACTCAAGGGAAACAGTTCATCAAGAATCATGACATATTTCATTCAGTTCATAATTCATAGCCAGGTTCTTTAGCTCCTGAAATAAATTGTTCCAAAATCTCAAAAGGAAATCATAATACATTAGTTTCCACATCTTAATTATTCAACGTTAGTTCCTTTCCATACATGAATTTTTTTTATAAGCACAGAGAATTGTTACGGTTTGGAATGCACTGCCTGAAAGGGTGGTGGAAACAGGTTCAAAAACAACTTTCAAAAGGGAATTGTATACGTACTCAAAAATGAAAAAATATTGCAAGGATATAGGGAAAGAGCAGGAGAGTGGGACTGATTGGGTAGCTCTTCCAAAGAAGCAGCAAAGGCACGATGGGCAGAATGGCCTTCTTCTGTAATATTCTATGATTCTACCTTCATCTTCCATACAATCTAGGATGAGGTTTGAACTATTGGGTAAATCTGTCCAAAGGAACAATTTTAATTAAGATAATACAGAGGATGACACCACACAACGTCTCAACCATATTCAAGAGGCAAAATTCCCTGACAAGTCTTCTTTTGACAATTGTTTTGAGGTTCGGAAGCTTTGCAAGTGCCTGAGCAGATAGCTTGGAAAAAGCTTGCATGTGGAAGCCATCTTCAATTTGAAGAATAATATCAAAAGTTAGGTATTCATTCTTTGACATTCTCCAGAAAAAGCATTAAATGATGAACTCCGTCACTGACCAGATTCACCTGCTATATTGTCATTTGTTCCTGCAGCTGCAAATGGCAGAATATTTTGTAAAAGTATGTGGGTTGTTGCTCCCAGTAGCAACATCACAAATTTATCAATAGAGTTTTGTTATAGTGCTGCCCCGGAAACAGCTGCAGAGCAAGTGGAATAAATCTTCATTGTCAGCTAGTTTATAATAATACTAAATGAACTTGCTATTTTCAGCAGCTGTTTGGACCATTTCCCAGGCACTTTAGGCCTGTATGGTACAATCTCCAAGTTTTCCAGATCAACTCCGTTCTAGTTAAATGAAATTCAACTGCTCTCTAATCATCAACATAATGAAAATGTCTTTCATTTGGAGTTGTGTAAAGTAAACAACAAGGCAGTCGTCAAAGTCAGAAAATAACTTGTCCATTTGCCTTGTGGAGTCCTGTTGCTCAGTGGTTCGAGCACTTTTGCAAGCGAGAGACCTGAGTTCAATTCCAGGCAGAGGGCGAAACCTTGGGCAAGTTTCCTTACTCCACACAGAGCCTAATAATAATCCCTCCAAAACCAAAAACAATAATAAAGTGGTCATTTTCAATCTACGACTGTTTGTGGGACATTGCTGTGCGCAATTGGCTGCCGCGGTCGCCCACAAATATACAGTCAATTCACTTTACAGTGTGTTCTGTGAAGCGCTTTGGGACGTCCTCCTGACGTGAAAAGCGCTATATCAAATGCAAGGATTATTATTATAAATCAGCAGACTCATGAATTTATGCAAGATCAATCAAGATCAATCAAGAGCAAGTGCAAATCCTACAAAATAAATGTTGTTATGTTTCCACACCGCTTTCATAAAACTGTTATGAAAAACACCCAATGAAACTGAGAGGAAAGCATTACAGAAAGCCAAAGCCTCAGGAAAATATACTTTGATGGAGCCTGCGATGGCTGGATCCAATGTCTCCCTGATCAAGATAGAAACAAATGACGAAAAAATGGCCAAATTCTGGGTTGTCACCAACGCCACTTCCTGTTTGTTGTGCACTACATGCAGGGAGCAGCCCAATGTCACTTCCTACACACAGTACACATACGTGCAATGCTCAGAAAGTGAGGTCAGCGGACTTGAACAGGAAATCGGCCATTTTATATTATGGGAAACCAGTTGGTCAGCTCCTGAAGCCAGATGTACCTATTTAATGTGGATCCACAGTAGAATGTAAAGTATAAGCAAAACAGCACTCCTTTGAAATGCTCTGTATGTCTATATGTCGTATTTGTGCTATAATAATCTTTGATTTTGATACAGCATCTGATCACATCTTCGAGAAGTCTCAAAGCGCTTCACAGAATATACTGTAAAGTGTAGTGACTGTATATTTTGTGGATGAAACGCAGCACCCAATTATGCACAGCAGTGTCCCACAAACAGTTGTGGATTCAGGCGAAGTTTGACTTGTTTTAAGAGCACTAACAAATGCCATCTTGGTTGGAGACAAATAGAAGAATATTTGTTGCACTACNAAAAAATCATTTAGATCTCTGAATATTTATGGATACAGGTTTTAGCTTGAAAAAATGTGTCAAGAATGCTGCCAATTAGATTTCCTCAGTCCAACGAGATTACTCTGCATAAGTATTTACAGCGCTACTGCCAGAAATGACATTCGAGCTAAAACAGAATGCGAAGTGTTAAATTAATGCACAAGGTAGGAACCAACCTCAAGTTCCAAGATGAAGACAAGTTCATCAACCTCCATCGTTAGCTACAAAATCACTAACTTAACAGTAAATCCTGACTTGGAGACATCCTCAACGTGAAAGTTGCTATATCTGATGCAACGATTATAATTATTATTAGAACATAACAATTGCTAGATGAAAGAAGACAAAAACAATATCCTGTATCCTGCAATATTTTTCCTTACAGAAATCTATCTAATTTGTTCTTGAAAGAATCAACACTTTCTGCTTCCACCATCTCTCTAGGGAGCCCTGTTTTAAACACACACTATTTGCTCACTGAAATAGTGTTTCCGCAGGTTTGTTTTGAATTTATCCCCCTTCAATCACAGGCTATGTCCTCCAGTTCCACTGTTCTGGACAAGATAAAACAGCTTGTCCAGAACACCAAACAGATAAAATAAGATAATTAACTATTATTAATTATTATTTTGGAACCTTGTAAATGGGTTACTTACATATGCTATAATTTAAGCAGAATCCAAGATTCATCAACTCTGATATTGTAACCAAAACAATCTTATTACATTTAAATAAATCTTTTGCAAGACATTTAAAGTTAACTTAATACTGTAGTTTTTGGCAACTTGAACATAAATTGTCATGTGAATCAAAGAGTTAAGTCATTTACCAGGGTAAGCATAATATTAAATTTTGTAATAGAGCAATGGGGAAGTAGTGAAACAATTTGAGTGAAAGAACTCCTTGGAATCAGCAACCACAATACGGTTGATTTAATGTTAGTAAGTTTTCAGATGACAAAAGCGAGACAACAGAAGCATTCAGTTTCAAGAAAGTGAACTTTGACAGAATGAAAGGGCTGGACTCGAACATTTGTGGTAAGGAGTACAAGGGGAATATGAAATTTTAAAGAATACAGTTCAGAGAATACAGAGGAACCATTTTTGGCAAAATAAGTGATGAATGGAATTGTCTTAGACGGATTACAATAGTCTGTTTCAGTTTGATATATTCTACGTGGTAGCACTGCATCAGTATTATTCATCACTATCGAAGCATCACAATTTAAATTATAAGTTGATTATGTGTACACAAGTTTATTATTGGCATTAAATTAGCAGATTCATTATAATTGGCCATTCATTAGATGAAGTGAATGTTACAATACAAGTACAAAGCAACCAGATTTCAACTGGAGGTTGAAAACAAGAGGTAAGTGGATGAATCATAAAATAAAAGATGGATTGTGCAGCCAAGCAAAGACTGCTAAGGCAACTTTGGTGTCAATTTTACTGAGAGGCACTGGGAGAGGAATGCACAGCCATCAGAAAAAGGTCAGGGGGCAGTATGATTTCTCAAGAAGATTGAGAAGGAACTGGAATCAAAAGTTTTTATATGCCGTTGTATGGTACTATGATAATTAATGATCCTTTTAATGATGCACTTGATATAGCATCAAGTGGAGTCCTGTAGCTCAGTGGTTGTGGAGTCCTGTAGCTCAGTGGTTAGAGCACTCGCTTTTCAAGCGAGAGACCCGAGTTCAATTCCAGGCAGAGCGAAACCTTGGGCAAGTTTCCTTACTCCACATAGAGCCTAATAATAATCCCTCCAAAACCAAAACCAATAATAAATTGGTCATTTTCAATCTACGACTGTTTGTGGGACATTGCTGTGCGCAATTGGCTGCCGAGTTCGCCCACAAATATACAGTCAATTCACTTTACAGTGTGTTCTGTGAAGCGCTTTGGGACGTCCTCCCGACGTGAAAAGCGCTATATCAAATGCAAGGATTATTATTATCTTACAAAGAATTTCAAAATAAATGACCAATTTTAGTTGAGAAATTATTAGGCCAGGACACTGGGAGAAACTTCCTTCTGTTCCCTTCTGTTTTCAAACTGTGACGTGGATCTTTCATGTCCACCTGAACAGGCACATGAGATTCCATTTAATGTCTTACCCGAAGGACGACATTGACAATGCAGCACATGCCCAGCACTGCACTGGGGTGTCAGCCTAAACTACGAGTTCAAAGCCCTGATGAGGATCTTAAACCCCCAACTTCTAATTGAGAACTCAGTGCACTACCCACTGAGCCAGGGAAACCCCACAATGAACAGGAAAGCAAGCAATACAGGATACAATATAAAATTATATTTGTATAGCAACTTTCACATTGGAAGGACGTCCCAAGGTGCTGGACAGTCAGAGATTTGGACCCAAGCATCAGGGAGGGTGGAGGGCAGGGAGGGTAGGATGGTGGTTGAAGAGGAGGGTGTTGAGACATGCCTTGAAGGAGGCAATGGAGGGAGCGAGGCGAAGGAATGTGGGATGGAGTTCTAAAGGATGGAGGCAGAGAAGTTGAAGGCCCGACCGCCGATGGTGGGGTGAGCTGGGCAAGGGACGTGGAGCAGACCGCAGCCTGATGAGCTGAGAGAGTGGACAGCTTGATATGGTGCTAGCAGGTCACAGAGCTAGGAAGGAGCAAGGTTGTGGAGGAGATAGGCGTAGATATGGATTTTTTTTTTAACCAGTTTTGCAACCAGAGGAAAGCAGCAAAGTAGGAGGTAGGATGAAAGTCTGTTCCATAGAGCAAAATGACTGACACTCCATCAAGAGTGGGGATAGGAATTAGGGTACATGAAGCAAACCAGAGTTAATGGAGCAGAGGGAGGGGCAGGGGAATAGAGTCACAGGAGATCATGGACCTAGGGTGGGGCATGGCTGTAGGTACAAGTTTTGAGGATCTTAAAGTTGATCTGTTGCGAGATAGGGAGCCAGTAGAATCTGGCAAGAATGGGCAATGATGGGCTTGGAAGTATTGTGCGGAAGAGAATTCAAGCAGTGAGTTCAGGAGCTCAAGAAGGTGGAGTTGTGGAAACTAGTGAGCAGGGGTCGAGGAAGTCACATTTTGTTTTGCCAAAAGCAACATTAAATGAGCCATTACCATAATACACTGAATTTACTGAAAGTTAGACATTCACACAATAAGCCACAATTCAATGCTACCACGTTATTGGACAAGTACAGCAAATTATCTAAGACTGACAACATAATACAAGAACTTACCCAATATCAATTAGAGGTGGTTTGTTCCGACCCCTCTTGTAACAAAGGTACATCTCTGGACTTTTTAAACTGCCATGATTCAAGTTTGCTTGAAGTCCCGTAGGTGTGCTTTCAATACAAGTGTAACCTTCAGGAATATTTTCTCCTGCTGATGTGATAATGACAGCAAGATCTGTTATGGGTGCTTTTGGTCCTGTTGATTTAGTCTCTGAAATGTTAATTTCCTGCTCCAAAGGTGTAGACGTGTCCGTAAGCCCTGCCTCTACAAAGTAGTCGCTCACTCTTGGGCCTTTATCTTCTATCATGGTTGATTATTCCTATAGAGAACAAGCAAAAAAGTGATTCAGACACTTTTCAAAGCAAATAACTAAACTTCAAATTATTTGTTACACACAGAACTTTTCAGTCGTGAAAACATTCAGACAGAATAGCTTCGAAGGATATTCAGGACAAAATAGGAAATGCGGGAGACTTTGTTTCTGGCAGTGATGAAATGATGGAACAAGCTACTAGCAGAGGTGTTGGAAGAAGAAACTATGAACAGATTCAAACAGGAACTAGATAAGATACTGCAATGTATTAATGGACTCTTTTGCAAAGTTGGATCGGTAGGCTAGATGGATCAATAGTCTGCTGCCTGAAATAGTCACCATGCTATTAATACATAAAACCATTGAGCATGTTCATCTAGATCCCCATCTCCTGTTAGAATAAATGTCCATTTTCTTTCCCATAGTCACCTTTTTATTGCAAATTCCTCCCAAATGCAGCCACCTATCCAAATCTTTTTTACTTGAAATGGTTTCAACATAATAAGGGGAAGATTGAGACAAAAGTATGCAACAATAGTTTGTGATATTACATGCCTGCAAACAAAAGACACTTAATATTATAGAAACCTAGGAACAGAAACAGGAGGAGACCATTCAGCTTGTCAAGTCTGTTCCTACTGGTTTATTAGATCTTGGCAGACCTTTTAATCCAATTGCCCTGTTCTTTCTGCCGTGTCCCTTAATACCTCTACTACACAAGTATCTCTATTTTAAACACCCCTATTAATTATCTACAGTTTTCTCAGGCAGAGAGTTTCACATTTTCACAATCCTACATGTGAAGAACCCTCTGTGCTTCCTGACCTCAGTTCTAACTGTCTTGGTTCTGATTTTAAGGCAATATCTTTGTAATAGATCCCTCTACAAAAAGAAACTTGCCCACTGTCTAACCAATTAATTCCTTTCATTATTTTAAATCGAATCACACCTTCACCTCCTCTGTTTTAAAGAATAGAACCTGAGCCTCATCATAGCCTCAGCCCTTTCAGGTTAAGTATTAATCTGCAGTCCAACCAATGAAGCAGATGTGACCCCAACCTTAGAAAACCTGTTCAGGAAGGTAATGGTAGGCACACCATTTATCTACGGGTCATCTCACAAGAATAAAAAGGAATTCAGCTAATGGACAAGGTGGATTAAGGGGATCAGCAGCCCTCTGGCAAAGGAACAATTATGTCCCTCCTATCCTCACCTCTATGACAACTATTCACACCAAGGAATCTCAGAGTTGCTCTTAGAATTCATAGGAATTAAAGCACCCCAACGTTTTCTATGGAGACGATCCAGAACTCTAAACCTTTAACAAGTGGAATCTAATTTTATCCAAACAAATGTTTTGATCGTTCCTAAAACAGGTGGTTAGAAACATGGGGACACTTTGGATCACAACTTCATGTCATCGTAGTAGGGAGTGACAATAGGATTGAAATAATGTTGGTCTTTGGACTAGTTTACTATTCGCCAACAGTTGTGTATCCAAATCATGTGCTGAATAAAATGAGGTATTCCACCTCACAGGAAGCAAAACAAATCGAAATAGATCAATTCTATTTTTTTTCTCTCAAACCATTGTTCATCTTGGCAAGTTATGTCGGAATATTTGTCATCTGGCAGAAAAAATCTGGTCATTTCCATTTTGTGCTGAATTTGCAGATCTAAGATAGACTAAGATATCTAAGATAATGATGAAGGTGGTACAACTGGCCTTTGCGACTCTGGCAAAGAAAGTAAAGCCAGGGTTCACACTGCAATTTACAAACCACTGACCTCAGTTAAAAAAGGCAATTATATTGTGAATTATAGATAAGATCAGAGCTAGACTTAAATGTGATCCCACCGTGGGCAAATAAACTTCAAAAACACCTTTGAGCAACCTGCCAGACAGGGTTGGCAAGACCTGTGGAAAATTGCAACAAGAATTAACTTCAGAAAACGATGAAGGGGGAAATAAAAATCAAAAGTAAGTCCTAATTTCAGAATTCAACATGCTAGAGATAGACTAACTTTTTTTTAAACCATGCACACTGCTGTTCTCCTTTGCTCCAACTCTTAAACCTGAATTATAGTCTCCAATTTATCTATATCTCTCACTCCAGCAAACTGGATGCTGTTTAGGTACAATAATGTCTCAAAGCACTTTACAGTGGTGGGAACGAACCCCAAGCAAGGGGAAGAGGAAGCGACCACAAGCGCTATTCGAGAGGTAGATTTTAAGGTGGGTCTAGAAGACAGAGCGGATGAGATGGAGGGGTCAAAGATAGCAGTTCAAGAGGCTAGGGATGTAGAATATGAAGGTCACTGATGGCAGCATAGGTAAGGCGAGGGACATGTAGCAAGCCCGAGAAGTGGAGTGGGTTAGGAGGAGATCAAAGAAACAAGGCTAGGACCTTGTAAAAAATATATAGCAAACCACTTAGAGACAGGGAGCCAGTGGAACCCTGGCAAAGACTAGGGTGCCAGATATATGGAGTTTGCTGAGGCTAAAGAAACAGATGGCAGTTTTGGAGAAGTTCAAGTTTATGTGCTGGAGCTAAGACAACCAGTGAGAAGCAAGTTAGATAAGTTCAGCTGGGAAGTGACGAAGGCACAGATAAGAGTTTGAGTGGTATTTAAAGCAAGGTAGGGGCAGTAACCTTAGTGAGGAAACCTTAATAAAAACACTGCAAACACACCCCATTTCCCCAACTACTTGAACAGAACTTTCTATTGTTACAAGTAGGTTTATCTAAATTTTAAAAGTTAAAAACATCAAAAAGTGATATTTACAAACAAAATTTGGGAGATTATTTTGATACAAGTCAAATTTTGGAATAATAGGAACATTTGAAGCAATATATTTGTTTGGTTTCAAGTCATTTTGGCATCAACTCCAACTTGAGCATATGATGTACCAATACCTGAATAAAATTAAACTTAAAAACAATTTCTTCTTTCTTCCACCCCTTCCCCCCACTGCAAATACAGGCTGAAATGCAGGCTATCAAATGATCTGTTTGAAATTCAACTGTTCCTTTTTAACCAGCATTTCTCAGAATGAGAGCCATACTCAAGTTAAAAATAAACTGATGCATTGCAAATCAACCAAATCAACCATGTTAATGTGTCAATAAGGCGATACCTCATTAATCGTTCTTTCCTGTTTCATGTGGTCTGTACCGTTAAGTGTTACCAGGGCACTGGATAACACATTTAAAATGCAGTAAACATTATGTCCCAAAACAACCAATATCTGCCAAAAATAGCTGACTTCATTTGATGAAACTGCCAAAAACTTTCACTACCATGTAAATAAAAGTGGGCATTTCCAGTTCACAAATCTGGACTTATTTTAATTCTTAAACACAATGAATAAACACACCTTCTACCACAAACATCAAGTGAACCCATTAATTAGTTTTCAGCATCAACAATTTGCATTCATAAATGTCTTTTACTATGATTGTTGAAGCACTTCTAAGGAGGAAAGGAGAATGAGTAACAGAGATAGATGTTTGGAAGTTTTAAGAGCATTTAAGGTAGGGAGAGAAGATACAGCATACTATGTGCAGTGCTTTGAAACATCTCAATGATCTGATAAGGCGCTGTATCAAATGCACGTATTATAATAATACAAAGCATACGATTTGTGGAGAGTTTCAGATAGTGGGGCATAGTAGCTGAAGGCTCAACCAATGGTCAGACAGAGGGAGTGAGGAGCAGAAGATAGTCAGAAGAGCAGAGGATCTGGGCAAACTAGAGCTGCAGAAGATGGCATTGACAGGAAAAGTGAAAGGAGGCCAGGACAAGGATCTTAAAGTTGATCCTCTGGGCACCGTCAATCAGCAAAGCCTGGCTAGGCTGCAGGAAAACATTTTGCAGAACCTAATGGCAGAGAACATGCAAGCTGCAGAACTCAATGAACTAGGGAAGTTGGTGAGCAGAGCATTGGAGAAGTCAAACCTCAAAGTGATGAATAGAGATAAGGATTTTGGTCATGTGAGGAGTGAGATATACATTTTTTACTGATCTGGGAAACAACGTGGTCTAAATATGGTCACGTTTGCTTCACAAATATCACCAGTACAGTTTTGTGTTTGACCGTTTTAAAAGCCATTTCACAAAGTCGAACAACTTATACTTTAAGTAAAATAACACATTAGTAACTTGAAAACTTTCAGAATTTAAGAAAATAATTTCCACTTCTTTTATACCCACCTTCCACTATTCTAATGTTCACCAGCTGAGAGGCAATTAGGATTCCAAATATATATGTCTACAAACTGAAACAAAAACAAGGCGGGAGTGAGTTTTTACCTCCCCCTCCCCCCAAAAGTTCAAAACACAGAACCTAGCTAATAGATCAACCCCACAGAAAGTAAGGTGGTTTTATTTTTCTCAAGGGTCATTTACTAATGCATTCTGATCCAGGCCAAATTTGAAAAATCCTTACAGTTTTAAAATTGAGACAGAAAGGAGGGGAAAAGCAGGCACTTCACCGAGAAATAATTAACATGTGGAAACAAATTGCCTCTGCTATAAACATCTACATTGCAAGAGCAATGTTCAGCCAACTCTAATCTCACATTTTGCCATTCAGTTAACACCAAGCACTTCCTGATAAAGTGGAGCATTTCCTGTTCAAACTCAGAAATGTACAAATTAACCGACTTCTACTTCATTCTAGGAACACATCAAGATAAGCCATTAAGTCTATATTGCAACTTTAATTTCACTTCTTCACCTTTTCTCCACATTTCTTAATATTTGTAACTTACCAAATAATAAATAAGAACTGGCTGCCACATCTTGTGCACAAAATATACAGTCAATCCACTTTACAGTATATCCTGTGAAGCATTGAGATGTCTTAATGATATGCTAAAGTTCTACATCAAATACAAGGATTATTATTATAAGCATGTCTCGTTTGACAACCACAAACTCTGTGACCTTGTGAGGCTGTTCATTCCATACGCTCATTGCCTGTTGTGTAAAGTTTTTTTTTT